ATCGAAGCTGAAGTATTAACAGGATCTGCAGAAGAGGTTGTTCTGATTCCAAGAATTTATCCCCGTCTAACACTGGCCTCCCATTTAAATTAATTCGAAGACAGTTTCCCATGGTGCCAGCATTTGCGATGACTATTAGTAAATCACAAAGACAAACTCTAGACACAGTAGGAATATTCCTATCTGAACCCATTTTCAGACATGGTCAGTTAAAAGTTGCTTTCTCTAGAGTTTGAAGAGCATGTGACAAAGTTAAAGCTATAAATACTTCATCACAAGGGAAATTAGTCAAGCACTCTGAAAATGTTTTTACTCTTAATGTGGTATACAGGAATATATTAGAATAAGATTAATCAATTTATTAGTCATTGTTTTTACCAATACTGTTTTTATGTTTTTGTTGTTTTTATTTCATGTTATTGTTTTTATATCATATCTTTTTGTTGTTCTATCATGTTATTATGGTTTATTTATTAATCAATTTATATATTATTTCATATACATTTTACTAATTTTCTTTCATCTATGACACTTCTATTATAGAGAAAGGGCGAATAGTGGTATTAAAATATTTCTCCTAATTAATTTCCTTTCAATGTGCACAAATCCATACCCTGGGTCACTAGTTATTAAAATAGCTTCTATTAATGAGTTGCTTATTCTGTGCCTGCACTATAAAATGCATTTACTACATTTATACATATTATCTTACTTAATTTCTCTAAGATCCTATGAAGTAACTATTATCTTCACTCTTCAGTTGTAGAAATAGGATTAGAGAGATTATTTTTTTAAATGTTTTTAATTTCTAAGAGAGGAAGGGAGAAGAACAGAGAGATAGAAACATCAATGATGAGAGAGGATCATCGATTGGCTGCTTCCTGCATGCCCCCCCACTGCGGATCAAGCCCAAAGCCCAGGCATGTACCCTGACCGGAAATCAAACTGTGACCTCCTGGTTCATGTGTTGATGCTCAACCACTTAGCAACACTGGCCAGGCTAGAGAGATTTTCTCAATTACAGTGGACATTCAATATTATGCTAGTTTCAGGTGAACAGCATAGTGGCTGGACATTTATATAACTTATAAAGTGATCCTGCCGCTAAGTCTAGTATCCACTTTACACCATACATAGTTATTGAGTATATTCCCTATGCCCGTGGTCGGCAAACTGCGGCTCTCGAGCCACATGCGGCTCTTTGGCCCCTTGAGTGTGGCTCTTCCTAAGCCTTAGGAGTACTCTAATTAAGTTAATAACAATGTACCTACCTATATAGTTTAAGTTTAAAAAATTTGGCTCTCAAAAGAAATTTCAATCGTTGTACTGTTGATATTTGGCTCTGTTGACTAATGAGTTTGCCAACCACTGCCCTATGCTATATTTTATGATTTCACATATATGTGGAATCTAAAGAATAAAACCTGAGTAAAAAAAGCAGAAACAAGCAGAGAACAAACTGATGGTTACCAGATAGGAGGGGCAGAGGGTTGGGGAATTGGGTAAAAAAGGTGAAGGGATTAAGAAGTACAAACCAGCAATTACAAAATAAGCATAAGGAATAGAGAGATTTTTAATACACTTGCTCAAAGTCATATAGCTTGTAAGTCAAAAAAGTAGATTTGAACCAAGATGTGCTTCAATACAAAGCTCTTTAAAAGTTTGTATTTCTTGCCCAGCCAGCATGGTTCAGTGGTTAAGTATTGGCCTATTAACCAGGAGGTCACAGTTCGATCCCCCATCAGGCCACATGCCCAAGTTGCAGTCTCAATCCCTAGTGTGGGTTATGCAGGAGGGAGTCAATCAGTGATTCTCTCTCATCATTGATGTTTCTTCTATCCCTCACCCTATCCCTTCCTCTCTGAAATCAATAAAAAAAAAATTTTTAAGTTTATATTTCCTCATTTTAGCTTTATGGCATCCTCATGAAGTGGGAAAGGTTTTAGTAATCCCATTTTAAAGATGAGAAAACATTTATCCAAAGTTTCAGTGACCTAACAAAGATTTTGGACAGTAACCCTGCAACTCCATTCTACTTAGAATCCATCCCATTGTCTTTCTATGGTACCAGAAACTACTCACATCAAGAGGGAAAGCCAGAATTCTCTAATTAGCCTTCAGAAATAAGTATAAGTAGTCCAATCCATGCAGTTTTAAATTGTTCTTTGCTACATGGGTAGCATTGCATTCAAATATTAAAAATCTACCCTTTACCCAATCGAGAATGCAGATGGTTTAGAACTTCAAAGCCAAGCTGGCAATGACCCACATTTAAGAAAACTCCTCTCCTGAACTCTCTCAAAGCCACATCATACCAGTGATGGTTGGAACCTTGGGCAGGCTCCCTTGAGCACTTATCCATTTAAAACTAGCAGTTATGTTGAAATCACTGATGATTCAGCAGACATGAAAGTCCAGTGGAATCCCTCTCCACAGCCCTGTCCACTCTCAAGTCGCCTCCTTGGTGATTCACCTTCTTTGAACTTCTGCCATATTGGTTAATCACCCTAATTAGTTGAGTGTGTCCAGTCCCTGGTACCCCTGCTTACACAAAACTCTAGGAATTGTAGTTCTGCTGTAAATGATCAGAAAGTCACATCACCATCTGTAAGTCACATCCTCAGGTTCCTCCTGGGTAAAATAATATTAATAAGCCTACTTGACTTCATTATGGGGATTAAATGAGACAATGAACAAAAAGGCCATAGTATATAGTACATTGTAAGTAGTCAATAAATATTAGCTAGCTAATATTATATTGCATTATATTATATAGGGTGTGGCAAAAGTAGGTTTACAGTTGTCAGTTGTTCATATGGAAAATGATACAATAATTAATAAATAATAATACAAGAATAAACTCTGTTTTGTGTATTCACAGCTATAAATCTGCTTTTGCCCCACCATGTATAATCACTAATATATAATGTTATTCTTATTGCTTCTGAAGAGCAGTTTAAGTGTATTGAATTTAATTAAGAAGAGTATGACTAATCATACATGCAATTGGATATTTTTTTTTAAATCCAGAATTGGGTCCTTTTCTCAGCCAACAATGGTTTAAGAAGGAAAAAGACAAAAGGTAGGATTGTTCATATAGTCAGATGGGATCATGTTGTGCCAGTGATGTCTGAATGGATCAGGAAAAGAAGGCAAGGCTGAGAACCACTTACCTGGATTAGAGGGAGGAAAGGCTTGTATGAAGGGGTTGTGTTTTTGAGACCTTTGTTCCTTTACTCACAGAATCCCTACATATTCAATTTTCCTATGTTCTAAAGTAAAGGCAATAAGGCTCAGAGAGGACATGTCTTTCTATAGACAAAACTAAAAAAAACATACCTGAATTTACATATACACAAATATAATACAAATATGCATACTATTTGTATATACATATATTCACATAAATATATATGCATATATATATTTATCTTATCTAATAAAGAGTGAATATGCAAATTGACCATTATACCCAAATGGTCAAGATGGCTGTGCCCACAGTGGAGGCCAAGTTCCTGTAACGACCTTAAGGAGCAATCAGCAGGGACCTGAGGCTGTGACCCCTCCTGGTGGGGCTTGATGGGGGACCTCAGGCCATGCCCCCACCCCAGTACCGGGCCATGGGACCTGAGGCTGCACCCCCCGCCTGGTGGGGCTTGACAGGGGACCTCAGGCCATGCCCCCCTGCCAGCAGGGCTTGACAGGCACTTCAAGACATGCCCCCTGCCCTGGCCCAGGCCAGGGTACCTCAGGCCGTGCACCCTGCCCCAGGCCGGGGAACCTGAGGCTGCACTCCCCCACTTGGCAGGGCTTGACAGGGGACCTCAGGCCATACCCCCCACCCTGGCACCGGCCAGGAGACCTGAGGCCGCACCACCCAAAAGGGCCTGATGAAGGTGAGGCCAGCCGGGTCTGGATCTAGCCCAATGGGGTTGGGGCCAACCAGGTCTGGGTCTTGCGCAATTTCAAGGTGCACGTGGGTGGGCAGGGACTCGACTCTGCTTTCCATGGCATGCCCCAGACTCTGACAGGAGGAAGATTTTCATATACATTTTACTAATTTTCTTTCATCTTTGACACTTCTATTATAAAGGGCAAATAGCAATATTAAAATATTTCCTCTAATTAATCCCCTTTTAATGTGCACAAATTTTGTGCACCGGGTCACTAGTGTATACATGTGCATATATATATGTATGGATACATATGTGTGATAAACTCATAAATTCACACCAATGCCTCTAATTCCAGTGCACCCCCACATAGGGTTCCTTCTTTATTCTCCCACCCATAAATGATTTCCCTTTCCCATGTGAGAATTCTAGCTCCCAACAGCATGAACACATTTTCTCATTTGCCCAGTGCCACAATACATTTAAAATAGTTTCAAAATTGCTAAACATATCCACCACAAGATGAATAAGGTATATATACTAAAAAAAATCCAGTAGTTGGTTTCAATTCTCCCCTACTCAACCTCACCCAAGAAGGAAGGTAAATAGTCAAATACTGTGTTCATAAGTTACTTGGATTTTCCTTTCTTTTGCTTTTTCCTCTTCAGTGTGGTTGTAGTATTTATTTGAAATATAATTGGGTTCATTTGTTTCCACTTGTTTCCAGTTTTAGGTTTTTCTTTCCCGTCTCATCTTGCTTTAATTTTATTTCTGAAAATGTAGAACATTAACATGTTTCCAGTGGGGGGCATGCAGGAGGTAGCTGATCAATGATTCTCTCTCATCACTGATGTTTCTGTCTCTCTCTCCCTCTCCCTTCCTCTCTGAAATCAATAAAAAATATTAAAAAAAATAAACAACTCAGTGTGGTCTGGTCAGCATCATGTGGAAACCATCCCAGACCTTCAGAATCCGTAGTTTACAAAGACACTCCCCCACCAGATGATTCTTATGCTCAGTCATAGGAGCACTGAGCTGAATGCCTTAGAAGGCATACAGGCCTCTGGTAGGTACCCTAGAGTGGCCCCTGTCCTTCTGGGAGTTGGGGGAGGGGAGAGGGCGCAGCCTCTCTGCCTGCCACTGTGATGTCACAGAGTAAACCTCATGTGTCAGCCAGCCCCACCCTGACTGGTATACTAGCTGCAGGACATCCTTTCCATCCTCTCCAGACCACCTTACACCACCTTAGCACTCTGCAGGCAAGAGGGAGCCTGATTCATCTTCACACAAGATACTCATTCCACTCAACCAGTTAAAACAGAGACGATAAACTGAAACTCTTTGACTCAGAACTTCAAGTGAATGAACAAGTCCTCTCAACTGACTCAAAATGTTTGTCTCACCCAGAAGGTAAGTACCTTTATTTTTGACATCCCATGACTACCTCGTGTGTTATCCCTTCTCTCATGTGTATCCCGGAATGTTGGATTTGTAATACAGGTTATACAAATTCACCAATTTATTTCATGAGCTTATGGTAAGGAACTTGAGAACACACTATAGGATTACACAAAATGGAATAAAAATATATTACTTAAGCCCAGTTTTTATTGATAAGCCCAGAGATGTCCATACCATGGCCTCTTGCTCTTTCATCATCTTCTATGAAAAATGTCCATTTCTTCTTCCTTTGCCTCTTCATCTTACTTTTCCTTTCTGTTCCCAGAGCTGCTTACAGCCCCTAGCTTTTCTTTTTCCCCTCCATCTGTATGATCCCCGTTGCCAAAATTTGGCTCCTGCTCAAAGGCCCAGTGGTGGTGGGAACGGAAAAGATGCATATGACCCTACTGAACTGAAAGAGTAGATATTAAGTTCTTCCAAAGAATGAGGAGGCACCCCTAGGGTCCTGCTGGAAGCCAGCTCCGGCCTGGAATCTGCTGGAACTAAGGAGAGCATAACCTTACGCTCTTTTGGTCTCAGAGAATCTGAGAGAATCTGCAGGGGGCCTCCCAGACCCGGGAAGACCCTCACGGCCAGCAAAGATGTCTTGGCTTGTTTAGGTAAGAACCTATATCTGAAAGTAACTTGCCTCCCATTTGAAAAAGTTGGGGACTACCAACCTTCAGCTCAAAAGGTTCCTAAGAAAGAGTTCTCATTATCATATATCTTGCCATTCTCAAGAGAGAAAAATGAAGCTTACTGTTAGCTAGAGAAATACACACACACGCACAGAGCAATGTGGCATGCTGCTCGTTGGCTAGAAGTTAGGTGTCTCAGAAGAAAGGATAAGATAGGGCCTAAGAAGGGGACACAGTGGGACTGCAGAGCAGAGCTAGTGATTGAGGAGCCATCAGTGTGGGCTCAGACTGCTCCCTACCGCAGAAGCAGCCCCAAAGTGAATAGATGCTCAACTGAAGAATCCTCAAAAGTGGGTAACAATGATAGAACGGGCCAGCCGGGGTAAATTTTATTTGCCACTGGCTTATGAGGAGAGGCTCGGGGAATGCGGGAGAGTCTGGTTATCAGTCTTTACCTGAAAACCAGTGTAAAGTACACGTAACCCATTGCCTCATTCTGGGTGAGTTTCCACCATCCGGCCTGCAAAGTGAACCATGTGATAAGGTGGCCGTGCCTACCCCTTTTCCCGAGGGGCAGCCTGCGGATGAGTCGGGCGCATTTACTAGCTTGGCCTTGCGCAGCCAGCTGCTCCGAATCTGATTCCTCGGGTGCTGAGCATGCGAGCAGGTGCTGGAGAACAGTCTGGCAAGGTGTCTGGTACACAGTGTGGTTCCCTTCCTCAGCTCGTTCTCCTAATTTAACTCCGGAAATCGTCCCTTGGTGAGAAAGGACTAGAACTCAGGTCTGCTTAGGGATTCGTGGCCCCAAAATTTCACAGAAGTGAGGCAAAGACACAGCCTGGCTTTAGAACAGGAGCTAGGGACCGGAACGATGGGCGCAGGGAGGTGCCTGACACTGGGACCCACAGGCCCGGGTGGGAGAATACCTCGGGTGACCCGGCCCCAGCACTCCCTGCCGCCCGCCCCACCGAAAGGCCTCGCTCGCAGCCCCCGCCCAATTCGGCGTCCACGTGGCGGCGCCCCCGGCCACGCCCCATCGCGGCCTTGGCCCCAAGACCGCCCGCCCTCCGGCTCGCTCTCGAAGGTTCCTTCTCTGGGAGGGGCCCCGCGACGCGGCTCTCCTCAGACGCGGGAGGACGGGAGGAAGAAAGGACCCCGGCTCCCCGCCCCGCCCTCCGGGAAGTCCTGGCCCGGGCCGCTAGGGCGGGACCAGCCAAACAATGCAAAACACTCCCCGGGCGCGTCGCCGTGGCAACGCGCGCCCGTTGCTAGGCGACCCGGCGCCGTAGTAAACCGCTTGCGGGGTGTTACTCATCCAGGGAGGGGGGCGAAGGGGAGCTGGCGGGGACTCGGCCGGGCTCCCGCACCCAGACTGCTGGGGGAGGGGGGCTAAGGGGAGGAGGGAGTGCAGGAATAGCAGGGACGAGGGCGGCTCACCAGGAACGGAAATGGGTTGGCCCCGCCGTGCCTGCCCGCGGCCGCGCCCTGAGCGCCCCTCCAGAGGCCACTGGCGTTGGGCCCGCAGCCCTGCCCCGCCCCGCGTCCCCGAGAGCCCAGGGCCCAGCAGCCCCGAGGACTCCGTGATCCGCGCGTGAGCGATTGCCCCACAGGATGTGCAAATGTGGCTGACCCGCTGATTCACTCCAGATGCTTGGGACATTGAATAAGGCGGCTTCCTCTCCTGGAAATGACTGCTAGAGCTAAAGCCCTCAAACAATTACATTAAAAAGCGGAAAGGGAAAGGCGACGCACTGGAGAGGCCCCCAGATGCTTTACTGTGGTCCTTCCCACTGAACATGAGTAGACGTGTTCCCAGAACTTGGGACCCACGTTAGGAAGAAAGGAGTCGTTTTCGTTCTGTGAGCATTTGCGGCCGTGTGGACATTAAACATGGCTACAGTTGAGACTGACCCGAAGCTGGGGCATCCCAGAGCTAAGCGTCCAAGAGTGACGTGAATATTTTGGACACTCAGCATGGGCATGTTGCTGGCATTACTCTTCCCTTCCAGTGTCAAAATGTCTTGTGTGAAGACCTTCTGTGATCTTCATCGGTGAACACTCAAATATGAGGCACTGAAGTAAAAAATATATATAATTATAGCAGCACTATCTCAGATGCTTCAAGATACATCATCCATAAGGGCTCCAATCCCTAGGGAAACATCGGGCTTGGGAAAGGACAAAACATTTCCCAACTGTCTCTGGCTTTTGAGCAATGTGTTTGTACCCTGGTCTCTGTGAACTAAAGATAATACTTGTTCATGAGATCATTGCTGTTATCAGGGCTTTGGTCATCCCAAAGCAGGAATGTTTCCACAGGTGGGAGGAAATGTATTGGCCAGGATCTGTTTGGTGACACTAGGGGTGCATCAGTGTAGAAAGGCAGAGGGTGTGGTGTGTCTGTGGGTCTGTGGACTCTCACTGCTGTTATATATGTGAATCAGGAGGATTCCTCTCTCCTTCAGCAATCAGAGACTGTTGGGACACTTTTCTTTATTCACATCTTATCTTCACCTAATAGACTCCCTAACTGTATTCATGGGCCTCCTTTCCATTACACACTTCACTCATTCATGGATGTTAGACAGGGCTAGGCTCTGAGGATCAACAATGAATAAAACTTGGCTGCTACCATATCTAACTACTCAAGTCATGTGAGCATAACAGACAAGTAAACCATGTGATGAGTTACATGACAGAGGCACACAGAACATGCAGGAACAAGTGCATGTCCATCAGAGCCAGTGAGAGCCCACACATTGACACCCCAGTCCAGCCTTTTACCTACTGAGTAACAAGGAGGAGGGCATTAATGGGCATGGGCCAGAAATCTGACTCTTGGGAGAAGGACAGAGAACTACTGCCCAGAAGGGTGAGTGAACCTTGGTTGGGAGAATATTCCAGTATGGATAGTGAAAAAAAAAAAAAAAAAAACAGCTGGAAACCTGAGCCCCAGGCTTTGACCTCAGGGAAGTGGTGTGCTATACAGTCTCCTCTGGCTCAGTGTGCTTACCCATTGTTCTAATCACCTCTTATCTACAGTGGACTCACAAATTGAATTCCTGTTTACACAGTATGTGTGGTCCCAAGACCATTGTTTCTCATAGATGCCTATGAAATATGGTTTTGTACAGTGTAGGGAACAGTGACTGAGAACCTTACAAATATAGGTTGGTCCCAGCCCTTGGCTTTGTGATGTCATCAGCACTGAGTTGCATATCTATCCCTGTGGGGCTCATCCTGAGATGGTAACAGTCCAACAAACAGAAGTTAAATACTGTTTTGAGATGTGGAATCTTCGTGTCTGTGCTGAATCACGAGCTTCAGGGCTGAACCTAATTATATTTATGTTGCATTGACTAGCAATTAGTACTTCTTCTGTTCTAAGAGAGGAAAGAGAAGAAAAAAATATTAACACGCCTAAATTACAATGAAAGGAAGTGAGTGGGATGCTAGCCTCTGATTTTTGTGGCCAGGCACAAAATTCATGTTTTGCCAGAGAGAGGAAATTAGACATTGTGGCCCAAGATCCTTGGGATGGGCGGTGTGGGATCTCAAGGTTGATCACAACTAGTAGCCAGCCAGCCAGCCAAGCACTCACACAAAATGCACAGCCTCCTAAGGGGGTAGATTCAGGCTTTGGAGAGGCCTAAAATAACATAATTTGGAGGCACTCTTTAAGAAAAACAATACAACATGACAAGTACAAATTAGATAGCAGGGTCTTGGGAGGGGCCTGCATAAGAGGGGGAACGATGAAGCTTAATCCACCTCTAGGCCTCCTCTTGTAAGACTTGGCCACTCCCATCCGCTTTTCCCTGGAGAAGGCAAATGTCAGTCTATTAAGACACAGGGGGTGCGGTTTATGAGCAGAGGCAATAAAAACCAAAGACATAAGACTGTGCCAAATGGTGACTCAAGCGGGATATGAGAGTGCCTGCAAGTATTTGAAGGGTGTCAGCAGAGAGAAGGGAAAAGAATTGTTCACTGTTCTGGGGTGGACAGGGAATGAGGGTGCAACTAAGTAAGAATGTGCACAGAATTCATCAGGAAACAAAGATAACTGTATTTTCTGATACTGTGGCATAGCACTTCCCATGGGAAATACTTAAGGATCAACTGAATCACCGAAAACTGACATTGGCCACAAAAATGTGCTAAAGGAAACAATCCTGGTTCATTCGAAGCCCTGAATTCCATAAGGCTGACACATGTGCTCTATAGATTAGTGTGGGGAGCAGGCCAACCGAGGAAAAGAGAACAATCCCGAAGGGAGGAGCCGCCACCTCACCCACAGTTGCTGACTGGTGAGGAGCACATGACTAAAGAGGAAGAATCTGAGGAGATGGTGCCACCCAGCGTTGTGATGACTACTGTAGCCAGGAAACCAGCAGCCAATTCCATCATGAGCTGTAACCACAGAATTCCTGCTCCCTGGTCCCAGCGGATAGGGAGTTCTGTCACAACGAATGAAGGGTCATTGGGTGATATGGGAATTATGTCTGGGCACAAGCATATTGCGTCAAATAGACTGTTCACATCAGTGTGAGAAGAATAGAGAATATATTGGGTGGCAGAAGTGAGATCCAGAGAGGCTCCTTTGGCTAAAAGGTAGACTAATTCAAACACTCTGAGGAGAGCCTACCTTTGATTCCCTAAGCTGACAGCACAAACACAGAATGGGAAAAACCTTCACTTGGTTGATGGTGAATCTGGAAGAGGTGGGAATAGAGGGTTTCATTAAATATAAACCTAAAATGAGTCAAACAGGTGTTATTTTAAAATATATTTTTATTGATTTCAGAGAGGAAGAGAGAGGGAGAGATAGAAACATCAATGATGAGAATCATTGATCGGCTACCTTCTGCACGCCCCTACTGGGGATGGAGCCTGCAACCGGGGTATGTGCCCTGACCGGAAGTCGAACAGTGACCTCCTGGTTCATAGGTCGATGCTCAATCATTGAGCAACACCAGTTAAGCCAGGTGTTATCTTAATTCCCTGATTATATATTTTTTCAGTCTGTTCAGCTTTTCACCAATTGTTAGGTCAAAGTGGCAATATACAAGTTGCTTACATGTGGAGCCAGAAACAAGAAATCCATCCTGGGTATATACTGAGTGTCCTAAAATTACAGATTCCTGGGACTCACCCCAAAACTATGGAATCTCAGGATGGGGGTCCAAAAATCTACATCTTTCCAAAGTTTCAGATAGTTCTGAGGCTTAGTCAGAATGAAGAATTACTGCTCTCAATAAGAGAAATTTATAATCAAGACAAAGTGTTAGGAGAGGGGTACAGTGTGACAAGGACAGAGAGGAGGGAACAGCTCCCATTCATTTTTAAAGAATGAGTGACTTTCACACTAATCTTGATGAAAGGCAGATCACCAAGTAAAAAGGTAATTCAGAATGTCTCCCACCCTTGTCATCCTAATTGGTATGATTTTTGAGGACAGAAAGAACAACATGAACTTCTAGGTGACCAGAACAAGAATATATGCAATCAACACCTTATTTATTTGTCAGATTTTTTTTTTAAGTTTTAGAAACCATCCTATATAATAAGAGCCCAGTGACCGAACAGTGGAACGACCAGAACAACTGGTTGACCAGTCGCTATGACACTCACTGACCACCAGGGGGAAGATGTCCAATGCAGGAGCTGCCCTCTGGTGGTCAGTGGGCTCCCACAGCGGGAGCACTGCTCGGCTAACCAGGATGAGCGGCACTCCCATAGTGGGCCAATCCCCACAGACCATGCCCCCCCCCCCACTAGTGCACGAATCCTGTGCACCAAGCCTCTAGTTTAAAATAAAAATTGTCATTCCTTTGCCTGGAGATCAGGGAGAAATGGTAGATAGCTGTAGCATTGCTGACCCTGGGACTTATTTGTCTCCTATTCTACTCCATCTGCATCCTCACCACATCCCCACCCAACACTCTCTGACTGTCTCAGCATTCCATGCAAAGGGATGATGTTAATAATCATTAGTAATGATGCTAACTGGAGGGTGGAGACCACCCAAGATACCAGGAAGCTATTTCATATCCATGAGTTCTATGAAGCTCTGACATTGCAGGTAATAGAGCTTATTAAAGAGATGGAAAGCCCTACACAAGGGGATGAAAACCTTTGCATCAATAGTGATCCTGTAATATTTGTGTGTCTGCCATAAAATGAAGCCCAAACAATTCACACCAGTTACCTAGGGAATGGCAGTGGGATGGAAACTAAATCATCACTTATTTTGTAAAGAAATGTCCCTCTGTGGGTGCAGGTCTTTGCTTTTCTATGATTAATCCCAGATCCCCATTGGCAAACGCTCCCACATAATCTCCCAGAACAGCTGGGCCATGATTGTATTGTCAATTATTAAATGCCCAAGTTTCCTGGAAGGCAGCCTTTAATCATGAGGTGCTCCAGAGAGAGAGAGAGAGAGAGAGAGAGAGAGAGAGAGAGAGAGAGAAGAGGAGGAATGGTAAGGGGTGGGAGAAGAGGGTGGGAAGGCTAGTTTCCAATTTTTCAACATTAAACCAAAGAGATTTGGAACCCAGATGGCATCCTGCAGTCCTTCCACACAGGCTGCAAGAGTCTGACCATGGCCAAGCTAACTAGCTTCACCCTCCCATTGCTCAGAACATACATTGCATAGTTATTTTGCACCTGATTCTTCTAAGAGGTGTGACTGTCTCACCCATTTGTTGCCTACGTTAAGCGTATGTTAATTACGAGTTTTTCTGTTAACCTATGTTGATGGAAGAATTAGTGACATTTTGGTACCTATGCACTTCCTAATGATTTGAACCCAAGTGTCGGAAAGTCACTCATTGTCCCTTTTCTGTGGAGTAGAATGACGTTGGCATGGGGCTTGTCAGCATATGCAAAGATATAACTTTCCTTATGGCTGCTGCTGCTTCATGATCACCTTAAGGAAACCCCTGAAAAATTAGATTTGTTCTTCCATTCAAGAGGTATGTGGATCCTGGAGGGGGGGAAAGGCATATTGTGGGGTAAAAATAAAATATGTGATGAGAAGTACAGTACTATAGGTGTCAAAGATAATTCTTGAATGAGGGTCATTATATCTATCCTTGGTGGGCACTCCTTCTGAAAGCAGCCTAATTGGGCTACATTCCAAGCTCTTTTCATCTTTTGTTTCTCAAATCACCTTTCCTTAAATTCGTTGTCACTTTGGTGCTGCAAAGTGGTTGTACATGGTGTGGGGTTCATTATTCTTATTTCTGAATAACCTGCAGAACTTAAAAATATGTGTAAATTGAAATGAAGCAAGGGTACAATTGAAATCTGATGTGATATGATGATGATAAACTAATTTCCAAGCCACCGAAGACTGAAAATAAAGTTGTTGAAAATGTAGAATTGCCTAAATCCTTAGACAAAATGATTAATGAAGGTATTTTATCTGGAAGGCAATTTCCTATTCAGTCAATGGACAGGAAGATAATTAGAATGTAACAGAATAACTAAAACCAATAGGATTTCCATGACTAAAAACAACATTAAAACACTCTTCTGGTTTTTTGTTTTTTGTTTTTTTTTGCTGGGAGGGTGGCAGGTGGGGGTGATGGGCCAACATATGATTCCCATATCTAGCAATAGAAGATATTTCTCCCTTCCAGGTGCTGTGGTTTTTCAGTCCTTACCAAGGTCACCCAGAGTCTTATACAGTCTGACAGTTCTTGGTGGATTTAATTTGTTTTGAGTGCTTAAAAAAAACACACCGAATTAGCAGATTGCTTTCCAGAAACAGTTTATCATGTTTTGTATATTGGTGTGTATATATATATATATATATATATATATATATATATATATATATATCTTGTATATTTCTTATTGCCATAAAATAATCCACGTTTTGTCTGTAGCCTGCACTGTTTTAGTCCCTGGAAAGTCTAAAGAACAAACTGTTATATTTCTGAGATAAAGTTCTCTGTTAAATGTAGAAAATGTTAAGCTGGAGATGATGAGAAAGGCAGATTAATGGGCCTATCCCATTTAGCTATGGTTTTATTTACGTCTCTTAAGCGAAGCAGATTTGGGTCTGATTAATTCTGCTATGAGAGATCCCCTGGAAAGCTCAAGATGGTTTACTTTAAGAAGCATCTGTCAGCAGCTAAGTATGGGCTTCCTTTCCATTCAGAACGTATTAACACAATCGTATAAACCATTCCATTACACAAAGTGCAAGACCTGTCAAATTTATTTTTGTTAAATCTGGCTCCAAGCCACCACTCCCCAAAGTTGAAATGTCTAGCTTCGGTCATTCTTCAAATAGCCCTTCTCTTAGACTAAAAATAACAAGGTCAGGGGCTCCCACCAGAGCCACATGGGCCATGGACCTTTCTGCTGCCACACCCTGTGTCCCCCTGTGAGTCGAGCAGTGCCCCTCCACCAGCCAAAGTCACCCTTTCCGTGGCTCCATGGCCTCGGCACTTGGTGCGCAGCCTCCATGGGCACCAAGCAGCCATCTTCCATTTGATTCCTGCATCTCAGTGGCCATGTATAGAAAGCTGGACCCAGATAATCAGGTCTCTCAGAACCCGCAGCTCCCTCTGCTCTCCATCCCAGTGGGCCCACTGTTTCCTTTTATCCTCAAAGGCCCCAGCCCTGTGATCCAGTTAATCATTGGCTGATAGGACACCACTCCCCCCCCCCCCCCCCGCCCCCCCCCCCCCCCCCCCCCCCCCGTTCCCCTCTCAGAGGAACCTATGATGCAGGGAAGAAGACAGGGAAAACTCAGTTACCATAACAGACACCTCAGCGAGTCAGTGCTACTAAATGCAGTGTTACCTTTCAATGCAGACAACACCAAAAATGATGACCAGCAAGAGCATTTAGAGTGCTCCCAATTCTTTTTCTCAACCTGATCGATAGCCTAGCCTCAGTGGCTTCACCCCATTCTGACTGAGGTATTCTCTGATGCCTCTTCGGATCATCCTCAGTAAGCATTTTAGTATAATACGGTCCGGCTTAAATAAAATCATCGCTAGGGTGTCTGCCCCAGGCCAGCTGAAGCCCACCTTCCACGCGGCTCTTTTGGAGGAAACTCAAAGCAGCTGGTGGCACCGGCAGGTTGGAGGAAAGGGGCCTGAGCTTAGGGAGCCACGGGGAAGGGTGTCCAGATCTCCCAGGAGGGTCTGAAAGCAGGCTCTCCCCTTGTCTGTCTGTTACAGATGGAGCTCCCGAAGGTCTTCTCTGGCCAATGGACATTCCTATCTGCCATCCTCAACCTGCTATCACTCGGCCTCTCCACAGCATTCCTGCTCAGCAACTCCTGGTTTGTGGACACACAGAAGGTGCCCAAGCCCCTGTGCAGAGAAGGTCTGGCAACCAAGTGCCTTGAGCTGCCAGTGCCCTTGGATGGGGGCAGCAGCAGCACATCATCCCAGGAGGTGGTGCAATGCACCTGGGAGGCTGGGGATGACCAATTCTCCTGCCATACCCTCCGGAGTGGCATGCGGCTATCCTGTGAGGAAACTGTGGAAGAACCAGGTAATCTCCTCATCCCCAGCTGCCTGACCACCTCCTTCCCCCCATGGGATCTTATAGCCCTCTCCCACACCACATCGGCCTCACCCCCAAGCTCAGCATTTCCCACCACTGTACTGTGTGCTTTCTCTTTAGGGAACCCCCTTTTAATAAGGATGAAAGTCCATCTGGCTTTTCACTTCCTGCCTGTCTAGTAGACTCATTGGGTTAAAATAGCATTACCCTTAAAGGGTTCCAACAGTATAAGGATTTCCATTCTAGAAAACTGAAGTTGCTGTTTAGAAACAAAAAAGGAGAGATGATATTACAGGAACAGCCTTGCTCTGCCCAGTTGTGACCTTATCGAGATAACTTCATTTCTATGGGCCTCGATTTTCTCATCAATGAGATGGATCAGAGTAGATCGCCCTTAAAGCCCCTTCCTTTCCCTCCCTCCTAAAAAAGGGTTTTCTCATTCTAAGTATCTATATATATAAAAGGCTAATATGCTAAGCTGTTCGACCGGTCGCTATGATGCTCACTGACCACCAGAGGGCAGATGATCAATGCAGGAGCTGCTGGGACAGGCACTGGCCATTTACAAAGAAATGGCACTGCAGACCTGGTGCCGACAAAGCAGCACTCGGCTTCCCCCAAGTGGGACACAGGCCCATCACCACCATGGAGCGACAGCCCATCAGATTGCAGCCAATGCTGTCGAGACCCCCATGGTGCAAAATGCAGCCCACAGCCCAGCCCAGCCCAGCCCAGAAACGGTGGCTGTGGGCACCGGGTAATGATAACACGTAGCAACGCCCAGCTTCCTCTTCCTAGTGACTAGCCTCCTTGGAGTTTCTTCAGCCCAGGACACAACTTGCTTTAGACAGGTGCAAACATTTCACACTTTAACCAAATGTCTATGAAGCATTTTCACATGCCTCATCTCATTTGATCCTCACTGAAGTCCTGGAGTAGGTAGATAGGAGACTAGGTAGAATCCTATTTTCTTTTCATTAGCTGGAAAACAGAGATTTAAAAAGTTTAGAAACTTGACCCAACTGAAAAGAAGTAAGAAATGGTGGAACTTGAAAATGACTTCAGGTTTTCTCACTGCACAGAATATAGTCAAACACTGCTACAGTTAAATAGTTCACCCTTTGTTCTACCGCATGATCTATAAGACTAATCTGCTTCATGTTGATATTTACTGCTGTATTGCTGACAATTACCTGAAAGAGAAGTTGGGGTGCTTCACTGGGCTGGAAAAAGTTTAGCTAAATCAGAAAGCAGATCTAATTAAGCAAATTATATATATCTCACTGGTGCCAGTTGAATGCAGGTCTTTCCATCTGTCATTGTCGATCATGAATTTGGTTGACACTTTTATTATAAAGAGCGAATAGCAATACTAAAATATTTCTTCTAATTAATTTCCTTTCAATGTGCACGAATTCGTGCACCTGGCCTCTAGTTACTTGTAATGTTGAAAGCAGGGTAACTGAAGCTCAGAGAGAGTAATTAGGCCCTATAAGGATGTCAGGACTCCGGTGTCAGCATGCACCCTCACCCCTGGTCCTCAGGTTAGCGCAATTACGTCAAGATCACCCTCCCTGCTTCCTGCTAAAAGCATTCAAAAGTCACCTGGTACTGAAGCTTTTGTAAAGCCCCAAATCACAGACAATTTGCAATCTTCTCCTTCTCCTGGCTTGGGCTAAGGGGAAAAGGAGCCAGAAGAGGAATATAAATGTGTATTGTGCCACTTAATACCACTCCAACCCCAGTCCCTAAACAATTTAGAGCCATTCAGACCAGTGGGACCACCTCAGCAAATGGCCTGGGTTAACACTGGAGTCATTAACTCTTCCTGGGGTCATTAACAGGAGCGAGAACATTTCCCTCTCAGGGTAACATTGTCATCTTCATTATCAGGAATTGAGAAATTGATTTCGGGTGACTCTTGTCTATGCCATTCATTCTTCCATGCATTCTTAACTACTTTCAAAGAGCCGTTTACTGCCTGCCTACTGTCTGCTGGGCAGGCACTGCGTCACAACAAATAGAGTGGTGCTGGGTATGGGACTGGGGACAGATTTCCTCCCAACTGTCCAAGGAAGCACCTCCAAGAAACTGACCCTTGTCTGTTTCAGGGGAGAAATGCCGAGGTTCCCTTGAACTCACACCACCAACCAAGAGAGGTGAGAAAGGACTACTGGAATATGCCACGTTGCAAGGCCTACATCACCCCACTCTCAGATATGGAGGGAAGCGGTTAATGGAGAAGGCTTTCCTCCCCCACCCTCCCTTGGGGCTTGTGGCAAGTATGTGGGTTTGATAACAAACTTAGTTGCCATTGAGTTTTGGGGCTTCTCTGGATCCAAATCGTACCATGATCTCCTGCTTTTCTCTTCTTCTGAGCTCCCAAGGGCTGACACAGATTCCTTCTAGAGCTGCCTTTCATTCACATGCAGGCATGCAAGGAAAGAAACAGCAGGGGAAAATCAAGTTCACAAATAGAAAACCACAGCTCTGACCTACTCCTGTTGCCAAGTAACCATGTGGAAAAGCTTAGGTTTTTCCTTTTTTTCTCCAATAATATTTTTGTGTCTGTGTAAAATAGAAGGAAAAGGGGAGGCATGGAGGGAGGGAGGAAACAAAACTGGCTGTCCAAAATTAAGAAAAGAGAAAAAACAATGATAAATAGCAAAGCCTATTACTACAAGATTTCAATGATTTCTCAAATCTCTCTAACAGTATTTACAGTCAATCAATTTTACTTGATTATATGTTGGGTACCGAGTAGAGTGAGAGCTGTGGGGTGCTAGAAAAAGAACCCCAAATTAAGGAATGTTCCCAGCTGGTTTCAGCTTTGTCTCACCCTCCCCTTCTCTGATGCTGCAAGGCTTTTCTCTTTTAATAGGCATCACCTAATTTCCCTTCTGATGGTTCACCGTCCAGTTATTTAACTGGCAGGGTGAGAGTGCCTCTTCCTCTGCTTTCCGACAGAGATCCTATGGCTATTACTGGGAGCCCGGTTTGCCTGCATCGGACTTGAACTCATCAGTTTCCTCCTCCTATTAACGGACTTGCTGTTCACCGGGAACCCTGGCTGCGGGCTCAAGCTGAGAGAGCCTTTGCCGCTATCTCCTCTGTCATGTCAGGTGAGCGCCCCCAGGGCTGGAGAGGGTGGGTGTCCTCTGCGCCCTCTGAAGCACTAGCTGGCTGGCTGGTCTCTGCCCTGAGGGGAGGAAAGAGGAACCTTGGGCGGGGTATGTGGGAGGGAAGAGGTATGAGGTACATTGTAAGCGTTTTCCATCTTAAATTGAGATAACATGTGAAATGTCATCTTAGATCATGATGTACTTTGTGAAATGGTTTATCCCTAGGTTCTTTTTCTTTGCAATGCCTCGATGTGTAAATTAGCTTGGTTTACTTTTCCATTGTGACACACAGAGCTTTTCAAGACTGTTGGCTGAAGTAAGAGATGCATATATCAGATCAAGAATAAAGCTCACGTTGGGGGTATGGGTGGGGAGAAGTCAAAGGGAATGTAGCCCTGAGTGCAGCATTGACTCAGACGTTCTCCATAGCTCTAAAGTCTGGGGCAGCCTGATGCAGAAAGTCCCCCTGCATTCAGGGAGTCTCCCTGACAGATTCGTCTTCCCGGACCTGTGACTGCACCTGATACACAATGAGAAAGGTGCTCTGAAGTCTAGTTCCCTGTAGATGGCAATGTCAGCCTTTCTCTAAAGGTGTTGCCTTCCTGCTCCCTCTGTAGGCCTTCTGGGGATGGTGGCCCACCTGATGTACTCACAAGTCTTCCAGGCAACTGCCAACTTGGGTCCAGAAGATTGGAGGCCACATGCTTGGAATTATGGGTGGACCTTCTAGGACAGTGATGGCGAACCTTTTGAGCTCTGTGTGTCAGCATTTTGAAAAACCCTAACTCAACTCTGATGCCCTGTCACATATAGAAATTTTTTGATATTTGCAACCATAGTAAAACAAAGATTATATTTTTGATATTTATTTTGTATATTTAAATGCCATTTAACAAAGAAAAATCAACCAAAAAAATGAGTTTGCTTGTCACCTCTGACACGCGTGTCATAGGTTCGCCATCACTGTTCTAGGAAGTGCTTACCATCATCTCCTGAACCTTTGGCCCCTCCCCCAGACAACTTTCATTATATTTGCTTCCCTCATATAGACACTTGCTTTGTGTTCTTGTACCTTCTCCTCACCTCTCATTCCAGAAGCCTGTCAATCAGAGGGCTGGACCACCAGGCCACACCCATTCTTCCCCCACCTTCTAAACAGGTACAGAGGGGGTTCTAGTTTGTTTTGTGAGGCTGTTGTCTTGCCCAGTTTTTCCGCTGGTACAACTGTTGCAATTGCTTCTTTACCTGATAAGTATGTTGCCCTTGGGAAACAAGACTGATTGTGTATGGCTTATGGAAATGATGCTCTATGTTTTATATTTTTTATGACTTGAGGCATTAGAGGACAGAGAAATGGTCAATTGGCCTTGAAATTTGGATTGAATTCCATTCCCTGTGAATGGCTTATTCTTCTCCTGTAATGAAGACTAACTTCTTCCTACCTCCATTCTGATTCCACCAAACTGTGTTAGAAATAAAACTTCCCCTACAGTCATTCTCTAAGCCTTAGAAAACCATGACAAAACAAATATAGTCGAGATAAACATCCCCTTTGCTTAAGAGTTCCTCACTTTCTCCCTTGAAGCACATGCTCGATTCAGGCACAGGGGCAACCTGAACTGACAGTAACTATTTGGATAGTGCTATGGACTTTAACAGTGCTGAAAAGATGCAGCGCCAGCTCGAGTTTCTACGCTAAAGAAGGCAATATGGAAACTCTACATGTCGTTACAAGAGCCTATCCCTTTTCTCGCTGCATAATACATGCTATTTGATTCAGGCTGGGTCTTTGGTCTACTTCTCCAGCCACCGTATCAGTTTAGCTCATTTCCCAGACTCATTGTTTCTCATCTTTGCCTGTCTCCAAGCCATTGCTGGCCTTACTATAGAGCTCAGACTGCAAAACTCCCATCAGAAGCCTCCCCAGCCTGAGTCTACTTTGTCCACTCATAATTCCAAGCATGTGGCCTCCAGTCTTCTGGACCCATTGGCAGTTGCCTGGAAGAATTGTGACTACATCATGGGGGCCACCACCAGAGGCTGCAGACAGGAACACGTAGTACCAGCATGTGGCCTGGCTTTAACCATCCCTTGGACTCATGAAATCTCTCACTAACCTCACACAACTTCCTGTTTCCTGGGCCACCCAGAATCACAGGGAGATTTAGGATTTGACTTTCCAAGTTTTTAGAGCCGTGTCTGATAAACTTCCCTGATGTCTTTTCTTCTTTGTTGAATCCATCCAGCTTCCCTTCATCTCTAGTGTCTCTTCCATCCATTGTAAACTCCCTAAAGTCGAGAACCAAATTGTTTTCATAATAGGCAAATTCCACTTAGTGCAACCTGTTAATACATCCAAATTTGTAGTAAGTGCTTCCTGAGACTCAACTTTGTGGGCCCTTAAAACTGCTAAGCTCAGAACAAGGGAAGAGGGAGGAGATGATCACTCCAGCATCCAAGTGAAGGAAAATCTTTGGCAGAGTGTGTGTGGGAGGGGAGGGGTCAGGGGTCAGGGAGAAAGGGGCAGGGGAGTATTACAGGGGAGTGGTGCAGGTCTATGGAGTCTTGAAGATTACACAAGGGTAACTGCAGCTTGAGAAACAGTAGGCAACAACGCTGAGTATGTGTGTTTATATACAAAAAGTAGGCACACCAAGTACAAACAAGCACAGTATTAACAAGTAATCAATTCCGTGAAAAGGAATCCGCTCAACTCCTTGTCTGCCTTTTTTTTAAAATTTCTTTATTGATTAAGGTATTAATACTACATACATCCTTCTCTTTTACTATGAAACATCCAAGTGTAACCTACTACGACAGACCAAATTAAGTCCTTTTACCCACAGTTCTTTCCCTGCTACCCAGTGGAAGACAGCACAGTCATGTCCCTAAATCCCTAAGAGGCATCAGCCTAGTTTACTAATAAGGAAGGGATCAGGGCATTTTTCTTTCAAACCTGTAAGAAAGATTCTGTGTAATTTTTTTTGTATGTTTGTTTGTTCCTAGTACAGCCTGAATTTCCTTCACCTGCTGCATGGCATCAGCTGTCACCACCTTCAAGACGTACACCAAGCTAGTGCTGGAGTTCCAGTGCAAGCACAGGAAGAGCTTCAAAGGAAACCTGAGTTGCCTGCCACACCATCACCAGTGTTTCCTCCAACTGCTGCCAAGTGCAGCCCACATGGGGGGCCCTCTGACCAGCTACCACCAGAGCCACAATCAGCCCAGCCGCCCTGTCTCCGAAGGAGTTGACTTCTACGCAACCAGGAATTCCAACAAGACACCAGCCGGGGGCTATAAGAACTGGCTGGGTCTCCTGTAGAAGAATAGTGTTAGGAGTAAGTGGGTTTGGAGAGCAGGCTGAGCCCCACCTTACATGCTTGTTGTCAACACGTGCTTAAGCCGAAGTCTGTTTCTTGAGCATGGTTTTTAGAGGTTAAGGACAAGGGTATGTCCAAGTACAAGTACAAAGTGTTTGTGCGGGGCGTGCCGGGTGCCACTGCTCCCTTTCCCTTCACAGCTCAATCTCCTTTCACTGTCTATACCTCACGCGTTCAGATTCGTTTTCTCTCCTTTACTCATTGCTTGCTATGAGCTGGGTTCTGGGCTAAGCAATGAAGATTTTAAAAAAGAGAAGCAAAATGCAGTTCTTGCCCTTTAAGGGCTTATCAATCTGGTCATCTGTCTGGGGTTTGGAGGAATGGAGGTGGGCAAATCAGCAGCCGATGCTTGTGGCTCAATTATGCATGGTGCACTTGAATGTCCTGGAAGTCACAGAAGGAAACGAAGGCAATCCTAGGGGCTGTGACATGTAGATGTCCCTCACACTGCCTCTTACATGCTCTGCCTCCACACAGTGGACACCCAATGAAAGTGTAATTAAGTATGATCCTAGAAGCCAGTAGGAGATGAGTGTGGATGAGAAGGCTCCAACCACATGCGGGGACAGGCCCACTTCCAGAAATGGCCCACTGAGGCTACTGAGGCAGGACTATGCCTCCCCAGTGGAGAAACACCCAGTGAACAGGCTGCGGGCTGTGCTCGTCTCTCTCGATCCCCACCTTCTCACCCATCCACAGGGGGAAAAAACCATCCTTGATAGTTAAGAATGAGAATGGCACACAAGTATGTTCCTATTCATGGTATTTATTTGTTTTGTAACAGTTCACATTTTATTTATTTTTTAAATCCTTATTGTTGAAGGTATTACATATGTCTCCTTTTCCCCCATTGACCTAACAGTTCACACTTTAAATAGTACTTCCTGACAACACACCAGCTGGCTCTTCTTTAACATGGGCAATAAGGACAGCAATTCACATTCAAGGGCAGCAGACACCGTCTGGGGGGTGGAGAGGGTTTCTAAGGGACGGAACGAGAAGAGACTGGGAGGAGAAAGACCCCTGCACTTGCAGAAGCCAGTACTATTTCTAGGGAACTGTCACATTGGCCTTGCTGGCAACCCCATGTAGGAAATGAAGAATGAAATCTGGGTGGGTGGTTGCCTGAGAGGAAAAGTTGTTTAGAGACACACTGAACAAGAAACCCGCAGCCACACTGGTCATATGAAGCTTCCACCATCTCTGACACCATTTACACCTTCTGTACTGGCTGCAAGAGGGAGAGGAAATCTAGAGCTTGTACCATGTTTAGCAAAGAGAGTCAAACTTATCACAGTCAAAACAATCTATGTTAATTTGCAAACACACCATGAAGAATTTAGGGGCATTATGTTTTTCTAGCTTCCTCTTACATTGTTTCTGGGATTCACCCAGCACAACTACCTAAAACAATCCCCTAAACCAGCTCCTCAAAAACAACTTCACGTTACTCCTGCCTAAAGGCCTCAACATGGGTAGAGAACCAGGCTGAGGCCTCCATGACTCAGCCCAGGCTGCAGGACCACCACCCAAGTTTTAGGTATTCTGTCAACTATAAATAATGAGTCTTAGAATTCTCTACTAGGCCTTACTCTCTTCTATCCAGGTAGATTCAAACCCTAGAAGTACATCTGGAATCATCCCCATACTCCTGGGTACACTGTTAATGGTCCCTCAAGTTTGTAATAAGCTTGACCTACTCATGCCCCAAACACATGCCTTCCAAAGTGTTGAAACCAAATTTGCTTTCACAGACTTAAGGCAGCAAGGTGCCCAGAAACCTATAGCAAGGCCAACCTCAGGCCAGGCTACGTGCCTGAGGGGAGCTATTGCTACCAATCTTCTGTGATGTCATAATGCCTAACGGGGTAGTTACTATCCCATCAATGCAGGCTCCCTAATTTTCCGTAATCTCTCTCTCTTCTGAATTCCTTTATTAACACAAGTTAAAAAATACGGCCTCAAGTAAAGAGAGAACCTGAGTGGCGCTCAGAGATGACTTATCGAAACTATTCACGGGAGAAAGCAGTTCTCCTCCAGTTAACACGGGATCTCGGCTAAATACACATGGCCTAGAAGTTTAGGAGAGAACTTAGTAGAAGAAGGGAGAACCACTGGAGAAAATTCTAAAGTACTTAACCAATTATAAAAGTTACAGTATTTACATAGTTTTTCTCAAAATACAATGCTTCAAAGATTCTACCAGGAAAGAGGTGTGCAGGGCAAAAGAGATGCATCCTGGGCTCGGGAGCAAGAGGAAAGGTCCAGAAACAGCTCTGCTCTCATGCAAGCAAAGCAAAAATATCCCTGAATAAAGGAGAGCAAAAGAGAAGCAGTAAGGAGGAAATGCTAAGGAAGCAGAGTAGAGATGAAGCAGAGAGGAGCGGATCTGCCTCAGTTGTTCCCGACTTCAGTTTTCCTCGATGTTGAGGACAGCATACACAGAAGCACTTTCAACGTTACTGCGGTAAAAAAAGATGAGGACCGGCAGAACAATTAAAACCACAGGGTAACCTGTGGACCTCATCATTGCTCCCCTTCTGATGGGAATATGGTGGTTCTATGGTCGGTCAATACGCAGACATGGGAAGTGTGAGGAGACAGGATACATAAGGAAGAGGTGAATGTAGGGGTGGCTCACCCTGGCTCCTGCTATCAGTCTTTCTCACTCTGCTGAGGTTGAGAAAAAGCCGAGGAACAGGTGGGGAAAGTATGAGGAGAGGAATGATGAGTGGCCCTGATCAGCAGAGGCAGGCCTCTGGAAGCCTCAAGATGACCAAACAAACCAGACGTATTTCAGGACAAGAAACTGAGTCCCTGGAGCTTAGGACACAGCTAGAAAACATTTCATCACAACGCTGAAAACCACACACATATGGCATGATGCAAAACAAACTGCCCCAGTGAGGAATTTCACTGGAATCTCCCAGCAAGAGTTTATAAGTTAGACATACAAAAACCAAAACAGTTATTAGATTCACATTTCCAAATTATGCACACAGAGTGCCTAGAGGTGGGAGGTTAATGCACAGGTTGAAAAAGTAGGTGACACACCCCGACCACATGGTTCGTGCCGTTACTGAAGAACTCCAACGTGCCTTCCAAAGTGCTCTGCCACCACCTCGCAGGGGTGGCAAAAGGAGGTTGAAGTCATCTTCCTTCTCTCCAAAGCACTGATTTCATACTGACAGGAGAGAAACAGCATCCGTTCTGCTCACTTCTTCTTAAACTAAAGGCTGCATCCGACTAGATCTAGGGAAAAGGTGCAAGTATCAGTGGCTGGAATTTTCTTCATGCTACAGAAATGGAGGAAACCTGAAGGTCAGAATACTCCTCTATTTTCCTGTCCTTCTGTGCAGCTCCAACAGCTCCTAAGTGTCCCTCCATAAAGGCCCAGAGACTTGCTCTTTTTTCCATGATAAGCTCTTCAATATTGAGCTAGACCACAGATGAGGGCTTTAGCATTTGAGCAAGGTAATTCTATGTAACTGCCACAAGCCCAGCATGTCAGCATCACTAGCCTCTACCCAGAAAACATCAGTAGTATCCACCCCCCTCGGTCACTGGAACAATAAAAACTATGGCCCCACCAATGTCCCTTAAGGGAGGTGGTACCATCTCCCTCTGAAAAGAACTGAGCATCATTTCTCAGTGGTAATGAAGCACCCTTAGAGAACAACACTGGTCTGAAACAACTGGCTCTTGACACCCAGCTACTCAAGAGGCTCCCATTCTCTCTCTTTTCTAAAGAGCACTGTTGAAGTTGGTAGAATTTGTCCTAAACCCTCAATAGTAACCAAATATTTGTGTCAGAAGCTATTCACCTGCAAGGGAGAATCAACAAACTTGATCCTAGAGAGGAATCGGCGCAGCTCCCCACGGCCAATTTTGGGGGTGGTCTCCTTGAGCTGGACCATTTGGCCCTCCATCAGTGCCCACCGCAGACTAAGCTTGCTGACCACCAGGGGTGCTGGGTGGCCTTTGGAGCTTGGCCCCGTTGTCCTGGTAACATAAAAGGCATCTTTCCAGAGGTCGTTAATTCCAACTGAGGAAGGACAAAAACAAGAGCAGTTAACAAGGACAGGAAACTTCCACTAACAGAAGAGTGGTTTGGTTCGGCAACCAGATTCAATCGTTCATTTACTCCTTCAGTAACTCATACAAGAAGTTTATTGAGCACCTAATAGATGCAAGGCACTGAGCTAAACGGTGGGGTGTAGTGGCGAAGGGCTGGATGCCAGCAAAGCAACACATTCTTGGCTTTTGTACCATAGTTTCTTTTTTTTTTTTTTTTTTTTTTGGTCTCACAGTATGTTTATTCATGCCAGCAAGGAAAGGGCACTTCTAGATACGGCATGTCCCTCGTCCCCATCTAACAGCCAAGGTGTATGCGAGCTGACGCTCCCCCGCTGCGCTCTCGGCTCAGCTGCTAGTGATGACCCTGAGCAGGCGGGGGACTCGAACCTTTCAGAGCTTTAGCTTTTTCATCCCCACTCCTAATCTTGTACACGATGAGGCCCATCAGCCCCATCCTCACCCAGATCTCCTGGTAAACCTGGTGTAGTAGGGCTTCATGGGGACCCACACATTTTTAATGAGGCTCTGAAACATCTCGCCACAGGACCAACGGCTCGGGCGGCTGTGACCCGCACAGCCAGCTACTCGGGAAGGTCGCCGAACTGTACCATAGTTTCTCTTCAGCTGCTTCTAAGAAAGCCCCAAATCAGGAAACGAGAGGCTATACCAACTATGGTGCCAATTTGGTAGAAAAGTGAGCACCACAAGCTAGAAACTCTGAGAATTCCTAGATTGTCAGCACATGATCATATAAGCTATTACCTAGCCAATGTTTATTTCGCCTCATCTTTAAAATATGTGTTGTAATAAAAATGGTCTTGATTCTTGATTACCATTATTAAATGTGCACTAACAGTATTTTATGCTAATATTAAAAAATCACTCATTTAGATCAAATTGCAGGATTTTGTAAGCTGACAGCTCCCTACTTGGCCCCCTACCACACACAAAGCCCGTGGACAGGTGTCTGCAAGTTCCCAATTTATCCCAGTAAGTTCAGAATGCATTAGCTTCGACCTTAAGGCAAATAAATTTGTAAGGAGAAATCAAGTCTTTGAAGAGCAAGAGAATATGGAAAGATGTAAGGAACATGACTAGCCTGGTCTTCCCCGTCCTCCCCAGCAGGAACAGATTCCCTGAGGCCAGCCTGGGGAAGGAACCTCTGGGGCGAGACCATCGGACACCTCCAGACTAGCAGGTAGCAGTGGCTGGGTTTTCAGAGCTCTGTTTCTGGAGTTAAAGGTCCCTAATATATGACCCCAATTTTGTTATATGATACTATTTAGATACATATATAAACACTTCCCAAATGTTAACAGTCATGACGAGTGGTCTTTTTCCCTTTGCTTTTTCTCCTGGCTGCCATTTCTAGGCAATGGGCATGTTCCCTTTTACTAGTCAAAGGAGTCTCCACTGATCCTAAACCCATGCCCTGAGAAAACAATCTACCTCCATCCTATCCCTCCAGTTAATTCTTTCTAAGTCCTGAGCTCCTCGAGGGTCAAGAAACTACTCTTATTGTGCTCACAGCCCCTGGTGCAGTGCCTGGCATACATCGGGTGCTCAATAAACATCTGCTGAGTGAGTGGCTGCATGAATCCCCACCACTGAGAGCCCTCTGGGAATGGCACCGCACTTCCCCCTCAGCTTGCAGCAGATGCAGAGGAGGTGGGTCCTCACCCTGTGAGCCTGGTGCGCTTCCCAAAGGGAACACTCCAGCAATGGCCCTGGGCACCAGGGACACCAAGGAAAACTAGTGGTTCAGCACCTCCCGTCTGAAAGCACACACCCTTCCCTTGGGGACCCGGGCTTCTCACACACAGCAGCACATCCGCTCCCCTCTCTGTGTACACAGACTCCCACCGTTGCCGGGACTGACCCTCTGCAGCCGTTACTGTGCCCGTGGCATTGGCCAGATCCAGAAGAATTGAGGGGAACGCAGGGTGCAGGAGGTAAAGGTGGTGAAGGCTGGGTGGCTCCGTTCCTAGGATGACATCCTGACAATGAGGAGCAAAAAGGAAAAAACAAAAGTAATTCTGCATTCCCACATGTGACGGTCTTCAGAGGAGACAGGGAGGTTACTCATTTCTCTCAGATGCTAAGACCTGATCCCAACTACAAGGAGAGAGAAACTCCCAGACGTATGAGACATGTTCCAAAGAGCTCAAAATACTAACTAATCACTAACTTCTTCAAACCACTGTGGTTAGAAAATGCTTTCTCCCTTTTAAGAAAAGCAAAAGGAAGAAAGGTAACGCACATGCCCCGGGACAGAAATCTGAGGTAGAGACCTCACCGTCTCCCACCTCCAGGAGCATTCCAGTGCTGGTTCATCCCCTGCAGCAGGTGGGGATGTGTGCAGACAGCGATTACCTACGTATGAAACATAGTGTGCCAACGACATTTCCTCTCATTGGATAGTAAAGCCAATTGCAAGTGTCAGGATATGAGTCACAAAAATCTTATTTACAGAATATCAAGAACAAGGCTTTGACTAAATAAAACTAATAACAAAAATCTTATTTACAGAAATGAAGAGAAGGCTGACTAGACAGAGCAAGTCATTGATTATAAAACAAAAATTCCAAGGCCTGAGTGCCCGTCTCCAAGCTCCCTGTGGCAGGATAAACGCACACTGGAACCTCCTGTAGCAGAGTAACTGCTGTGCAGGGATGATCTCCAGCAGGAGCACGCGGTGCAGCCATGCAGTGGCTACAGCACAGAAATGTGGTGGCTGCTTTACTGAGCTCCCCGGGAGCACCACCCTTTTCCTGGGATCCTCTTGGGTCTCCCCTCAAGGAGGAAGTGAAACCCTGAAAAATGACTATCCCCCCTGCTTCTATACTGTCAGCACAGGAAGGAGTCCACTGAGGAGAAGCGTGGGCAGGAGGCCAGCAGCCACCGCACTCCCACCACACGCTCACAGAGCGGAAGAGGGCTTTTCCACACACCCTTAGGTCCCAGGCATGACAGGGCACATCTCTGGCTTAGCTACCAGGACAAGAGACCAGCCAAACTCCTTCCTCACCACCTACAGCATAGGCCCAAATTCCTTGGCATGAAAACCAAGGTCTTACACCATCTAATCTAAATCTGCCATTTCCAGCCTCCTCCTACAATGACTTACCTGCCCACCCCATGCTTCGAGAATGTCTGGTGACTACCTAAACACATGCTGCACTTTGCTCTATCTAACCTCTACCCATCCTACCCCCCTTCCCTCAGACTAACTCCCCTACCCAGCTCCTTTCCTCCTGTTAGAACACTGTGTGCCCTTAGGAACCCGACTTGAATGCCACCTCTTCCATGAAAAACTCTCTAATCTTCCCAGACAAAATGAATCTCCTTTTCGCTTCCATCTGAAATTCTCTCTGTTTTCTATTTCCACATGTGTAACATGCGCCTTTGTTCTTTTCAGATGCTTATATCTGAGTCATCTGGTCCAATCCCCTCATTTTATTACATGAGAAAACCCCAAAAGTTAAGACGTTAGGTAAGCTGCCCATGGTCAATTTTAGGGAATAGCAGAGTTAAGACTATAATCTAGATATTAAGTCAATCTGATAAGAGGGAATTCCTTCTCGGTAAGAGGGAATATATTAGCACCATCATTCGCGGATAAAGAGCTCGAAGCTCAGAGAAGTTAACTGGCTTGTCTGACAGCACACAGTCGGTGAGCTCAGGGCTCTTCCTCCTTCGGTCTCTGCGGGCCCCCATCATTGGGGACCATCTCTCTTCTCTAGAGGTTCAGCACTGTTCCCAGTGTATCCTGAGGTCCCTACAGAGAACGTGGTACCGGGCACAGAGTAGGTGCTGGTCAACATGTGTTGAACGAAATCAAGGTGGGTCTCCCTAAAAACTCAGCGGCACCTCTTATTCTGCCTGACTCAGCAACAAAATACCACAATACAGCACGTAAGACGTTCTAAAATCCGCCTTCTGTGTATCAGATCTTCTCTCCCACAGTCTCCCCAAGTGAACTCTCACTTCAGCACAGCAGGGCCCCTCTGCTGTAGCAGCAGCCAAGGGGCTGTGGTTGGCTGCCCCAGGCGTAACTGGAAGGCAAAGGCGGGAAGCAGAGCTCAGGAGGAAGCAGGCTCCCACTCTGCCCACTCAAAGGCTGCTTTGTTCTACCCACAACCACCTGGAGGTGTTGCTGGTCTAACGACACCTTCAGACCCAGCCAGCCCCACAGAGCGGCCACCATCCGACAAAGTGACAAAGGGACCCTCCCTGGCTCACTCACGGAATTGGAAGGTGCAGCTGGCAGCCCTTCAGCCCAAAAGAGGAAGACGGACTTCTGGTCTGAAGTAACTGCTGAGGTGGTTGGTGTTCTTTTCAAGTGACATGGAGCAGTGTAATTCCAAATAACAGAGCCGGAGTCCCCATCCACCACCATCATCTGTGAGAGAGAAGACAGTGAGGAGAGCCCGTCCTCAGAAGGGCAGCAGGCCCAGGGAACACACACACACACACACACACACACACACACACACACACACACACATACACACACTCAAATAACATTTATTAACAGGCTGAAACAGATGCCAACAGCATCGCTCCATCCTGCTCCTTCCCTCCTGCAGCAGCAGCAACGCTTCAGAACAATGATATAGTGAACGCCGTGTCCTGTGCACTGTGCTGAGAGCTTCCGTGGCATGTGTAGCTCAGCCCCAGGGTAGTCTCACATTTAAAAGAGCACAATCCAAACAGGCGAAAAATAAATTAAGAGAAAACGCACTCCTTAGCTGCATCTCTCACAGGATAATTATAGAAACTGAATCCATAATCCCTGGCAGCATTTCTAGCTCCCTTCCCCACAAACACCTCGCACCCAACAGTTCCAGAGCCTGTCACCTGCCAAAACTCCCCCGTCTACCGCTAGCCCAGTGTCTTTCGCCCTGTCTCCTCAGTGTCTCTGTTCCTCAGTGTGGGGAAAAGACTACATACACCTCTTTCTACCATCACTTCCCTATTCTTCCAGTCTCTAGGGTCCTGCCCTTCTCTGCCCATACTCAGACTCAGCCTCACATAGGCCCGAGGAAGACAAACTCCTCAGAGTGAGCAGACAGGAAAATGGGCTCACGGTTCAAGATTTCCTTTGATAGTCTTGGGAAGAAAAGAAGACTAGAGACACAGCACTGAACAGTTTTATCCAGTCATGCGTACTACTTCATTTAGCTGCCACGATAACCCTATGAAGTAGTAAGCAGTGTTGTTACCCATTTTACAGATGCAGAAACTGCAGCTAGGCAAAAATTATGTAAATGGCCCACGGTCACCAATAAACAGTGGAGCCAGGATTAAAACCCAGGTCTTAACCAACCTACTCTATATACCCTCTCCCTCAATCCTGCCAGGAATGCCAATGAACATTCCAATCTACCTGAAGTTCCTTTGAAAGATAATCAGACATTGCTTCCGGAAGGCTCTCCCTAAAGTGACACTTGATCATTGGATCTGTCCCCTGCTCGTGACCGAAAAACCCTACTGTGTCCACACCTCACCCAAATTTTTCAGCTTTGCTTTCAACACACTCCATCAGCTGACTGTATCCTGACCTCCCTGGCGGGAACCCTCAACCCATCCTTATCCGTCCATCCAGCAAACCTCTTCTCTGCCCCTATGGTTCTGCACGTCCAACCCCCGACCACCATGAAGCATCTCTTGACTCCTTCACTCATCTGCTCTCCATGTCCCCGTGGCAGTGGAGCCTCCATTACAGCACAACGTGGCAGAGCTGTGTGCGAACAGCACCCCAGTGACTATGAGTTACAGACAGTGGCCTGGCCTTCATTCACGCTGTGTTCTCCAGCACATCATCTGCGTATCCGGCACAGAATGGGGCACCCTTTAGAGGTGATGACTGAGTGTGTGTTGAATTCGCTCTCAGGGAACCATGTGCAATATATAGACACATATTTTACAGTGAAGATAAACCAAAAAGCTAGGTCAGTTGTCAAAAGGAAAACGTGAAAACTCTTGTTCTGCTTCTAATGTTCAAGAAATGAAAACTGCCTATCCAATCATTATATCCTCACGTTACGCAATCTCACGTAAAATGAGAAAGAACTATCCCGTGTCCTCGGGACATGCCATGCCTTTCTGTCGCTGGGCCTCTCTGGTCTTGGTGTTCCTGGCCTGGCATGCTTCCCCATCCACCCCTCTCACAGGATACAGTTCAACTTTCAAGTGCCTGCTCATCCTTCCCTCTTCTATAAAGTCCTCCATTACAACCCAGCCCCCACAGACATCCTGCCTTCTCTGAAATCTTAGGTGTACACTGGATGCACGGAAGTATGACATTTATTTATGCCTGCCTTCCCCACGGCAGACGGCTCCTACTGCCTCGCTGTAAGCGAGGAATCCACGAGAAGGTCTCCTGTGCAGGAGGAAGGTTAGCCAGAAAAGCTTCCGATGCTACAGACTTTAGCACCGAGTTGTGAGTTTTCACTTTATCCATTCAGCTGGACTTTGAGTTCTTTGAAGGAAGGAATGTATTTTAGGTTCTCTTTATTTCTCCCAGTGCCTAGCGCAGAGCTGCACACAACGTATATACTTTATATGTGTTTTGATTGATTTGAGTCCCAAGAATTTACCTTTTTCATCCCGACTCCATCCTGTATCTGCAGGAGGAAGTCTAACGTCTGATCGTCAGTGAAATACCCAGGGGTGGGCTGGCTACAAATGAGAACAAGGTACGAGAGGGACAGTGAGTAAGAAAATGAGGAAAACAAGGACCTCCTTCCCTCCCTTCTCCTGTATCAGCCCCAGATAGCAAACAATTGTTCTGGGAAGTGGTTCAAAGCAGCAAACGTGAGAAGGAGCGCACTGCCAACCTGTGTAGGCCCTGGAGACTCAGGGTCCAGTGTGGTGTGAGGTTCTGTCCCCGAAGCAGGACGAGGGCCTGTCCAGTTGTGATCAGGAGGTTGCTGCAGTTGGAATCCGGTGCCTTCACCATCTGGAGCAGCTCAACACCGTCGCTGAATCACCAAGACCCAGATAGTCAGTCTCTGGATTAGATGAGGCTCCTGACCCACTTATTCTGACCTTTTCTCTTGGTACACAGGTTTGTATAACTTCTATATTCATCTCCCACCATTAGGTGAAGTCTGCCGTTCAGTGAACTCTCATTTTCCTGACCTTTAGAAACCAAGAATCCCTAGAAAATCCACGCAAGATCATAAGGAACTCACAGAGGTGCCACACACCACTCACGTTGGACACTCTGGGAAAGAAAACAGAGCCAAAGGGAGCGACAGGGAAGGGAGGTGCAGATCTGGGCAGGAGTCCTGAAATTGCCACTAAGCGTGGACAGTGACTTCTGGTAAATACACACAGCATCACATTATTTCTTTCTCTGCACAACTGGGACCATTTAATTTAACATCTGTCAAATTCACCGCAACAATAGGACACTGCCTCAGAAAATGATTGAAAACTCCCAGTATCAAAGAATGAAGACAATTATTACTAAATGGGTAAAATCCACTGCATATGACAAACTACATGCTTTTAGTTAAGAAGGAAACAAAAATAAAATAAAAAAAGATTTCATGCATGTTATTCCTGCTTCTGCCAAAATGATTCTTCAACTAAGAGAAAAATACAGGAAAAGGAGGGTAGATCTGTCAGCAGTTTGACAGTTATTTTAAATAAACCTATCCCCCTAATTTAAAGTTCCCCAGCCTCACCCCGACTCAGAACCTAAACCAATATCCTTCTTTCCAACCTACGTGCAAAGGGGTCACACATCATAGTCACTAACACACAGAGAGCAACACAGTATGTTATCGAGAAAATTTCTCACTCACTGTAACCGGGACAGAAGGTAATAGCTTAAGACTATCACTGCTTCCCCCGAAACCTCTGCCCAAACATTCACCAGCCCAACGAAACTCAGAGACTCCATGGCACGTGAGAGCTTGAAAGCTCAATGACAAGGTCCTACCTGTAAATGTCAATGAGTTCTGACAGGTTGATGGATCTTCGCTTCTCCCATTCTGGCTCTTCTATCTGCAGAGAAGGTGGTGAGCTGTCTCGATTTTGGGCCTGAACAAAAATGTCCCGCAGGGCGACAGCTTGGATATTTCCTAGCACCACAGGAAGAGCCAACACTGAGAAGCTGAATTTAACAGGCCTCCCCCAGGGTGAGGATCTGAGAGAGACTTAGAGCCTGATGAGATGGGTCTACCATAGCCCGCCCAGACTGGTCCAACAAGGAGTGAACCGGGAATGATTATATAGATGCTGGACAAAGAGTCTTCTCTTTGGAGAAGGCAGCAAAGGGGGAGCAGAGTGAATGACCTACAACAGGCGGGGCAGTGAGCACTCCCTACTATAGGAGGTGATGAAAGGGCTGGTGTCAGCAATTCCCCAGCTTTCACCAGTCTCACAAAAGAAGCCTAATCACCTACATCCATGGGGAACAGTAGCAAAAACCAGCCTTGCTTCTTACCAAAGCCAAAGAGGATGTAGACAGCCCCATTGGCGGTGATGTAGACCTGAGGACCAATCAGATTCCCCTCTCCCACGATGTTGTACTTCACAGGTCGGCCCACTGGGCTCCCTGTCCGGCCAGACACCAGCAGAAAACACACATCTGGCTGAAGAATTGAAAGAAGAGGGTCCAGTCAACAGAAGCCCTACTGTTTCCCCATCATAGTTTCTCCACATAATCATCGCTTCCTTGTTAGCTAAGGATTCAGAAACACTTTCCAAAGTTGGAAAACACCAAGCCCAACTGCTTTACTCTATTCCCTGGAAGTAAGAGAGGCAAATGTTAGACACCCGCAAAGGGCATCTTGACGGTAGCTCAGGCAATTTCTCTGAAGCACAGTTTTGGCTGATGAACAGTCTCTTGAGACCAGAATTCTAGCTCAGAGCTAAACACATGACAGCTCACCCCTGATCTCTGCTCTCATACCCAGAAATCCCCAGTAATATTTGGTCCCAGCAAGAATCAGTGCAGACACTGATCCCCCATCATAACATCACATACCTGGCCTGGCCACTCTCAACCTTACTCTCAAACAAAGATGGGCAAACTTTCTGTGAAAGGCCAGATGGTAAATACTTTAGGTTTTGCAAGCCAAATGGTTTCTGTAGTAACTACTCTACCACTACAGTGTGAAAGTGGCCATAGGTAATAAATACATGTGTGCCAATAAAACTTTATTTACAAAAAAACAGCAATGGGCCACATCTGGCCTGTAGGCAATAGTTTGCTGACCCCTACTCTAGAGGATTTTCTTTTGGGGAGAGTCACTGGTTGGGAAATATGAGGACTGTATCAATATCCTGACCTCAGTAAAGCTTTTGACAGAGTTTATCATCCTGAGTTCTTATGCATAAGATAAAGACAAGTGATTTTCAGTGTACCAGAGGAGGAGTCAGTGACAATGCAGAGGGAGGTTTTAGTGGAATGTCACAGCACTCTGCTTTTGTCCCAATACTATTCGTCATTCCTATCAAGGTCATGGGTTTGATTGGACACAATATGAACCAAATCTGATTTGGCCATAGACAGTAAAAATAATAACATCACCATAGTAAGTCTATAACAAGGACACAAAGCTACAAAGTGATAATTATTCAGAATTCACACACAGATCTCTCTGGCTGCAAAGCTCCACCTGTCATAGCTAGTGGAACCATAATGAGACCGCCAGGGAAATGGGTTCATAGTGGTAATTTATCCATTCAATCTCACAAGGCAAATTTATTTAAAGCTATGCCCTTGTAATAAGAGGTTTCAAGCAGCATTTATAACAACAATACTAGGAACTAACTAAAGTTAAAGTGCTCCCTGCAGGAAACACAAGGACCATTTTATACAGCATACCTGTGATTCCCCAACAGCCAGAACCACAAGATCTCGAACGCCATCTTCGTCCACATCTGGCAGTACCACACCTGGGGCAGCCAGGGTACCGTTGGATAGGTAGTTTGGGTTTAAAGTCCAAATGGCTTTCCCTAGGGAAGGACAAATAGGCTGATCACAGTGATGGCTTTCTGCCTCCTGAAAAGGTGGCCACACCACCACCAGGCCAGAAAAGAGAAACTCAGTGGCCAAACAACAGATAGTAACTCCAACTTCCTTTTTACCTTACTAGGAGGAATGGAGCAGGGAGTGTGAGATGAAATCCCCAAGTACCTAGCTAACAAACCCATGTAATAACTTCACACCTGGATTTTTTAGATAAATGGAGGTGCTAACGTCTCCCCAGGAGAGAGGAGCCCACTTGTCTGGGACAGAGGAATTGATCTGAGATTATTACAACTTATTAAGGAACCACCAGGGCAGCCAACCAGAAAACTAACTCTCTCTCCTACCACGTGTTCACCTGAGTAGAGAAATCAAGCGTAGATTTTCAACATGACCTCAGCTCTGGAGTTAACTTGCATGCAATCCTTTTCCATTCAGAACTACCCAGGACCAAACTCCAACCTCTAAAATTGGTAAGGATGATATTTATTCAGTCCAAGGTGTTAACAAGCATGCCGGCAATATACTTACGACTCTGTAAAGAGCCTTCATTGCATATACTTCTTTTTCATACCTTTTGTCATGTATGTCTATGTGCAATAGGAAGATAAAAAGCCAAACAGCATGCCTCAACAAACCTTACTTTCTCCACTGACATATTTTTAAGTAGTTGATGCCCAAGTTCACACACGGACCCCATAGCTATCAAATATGAAGAGGCAATGCTCAGCTGTCTTTTGTGCAAAGAACAGAGTAAGGAGACTACCTAGCAACCAAAGGCCTCAAGGTAGTTTCTGTTCAGGTTAAACTGTGGATCTAGCACTCAACCTATTCCAACCCTTTCTGTTATCTCCCTAAAATAACCGCCTCCCAAAGCAGTAAATCAGATTTCCCACCCTGTGAGAGTGGAAAGGTCCTCCCCCACCAGACTGTTCTAATCCGAGACCATGGCTCACTGGAGCAGAAACCTTTTGTGGCAAATGATCTTCACCTGATGTCGCATTGAATGCGCTGAACATCTTGTGCATCCCTGTCACAATGCAGATGGTTCCGGCCATGCTTCCTGGCATCAGATCCAAACATGTAATATCTCGAGCCTCCTCAGGGAGAGGACTAGACCAGAGTGTGCTGCCGTTCATCCCCGAAAGGCACACAAGAACAGCAGGTGGCCTTGAGACACCTAAAAGCACACAAAAGAGAGAAGAAATGAAAGGAGGCAGAGGAAAGAAGTAGAGATGAGCAGGAGGCCAGAAAACCAAAAGTAAGTGGTGGTAAGGCAGCAACCCACACCTATGTACTTGGCTCCCTCCCATATTTCTAGTAACAAGGTCTGAAAACAGAGCTTGTCCCGTCCTGTCTGCTCAACACCTCTCGTCCAAGACAAGAGCCCTGGACCTCCTCCAGGCTGCCTTATGCAACTCCACGCTTGCACCTACCCCAACACCTTTGCTCCCATGCCTGTCACCTGAGCCCAACAAAATACTGACATCCTTAAGGATAAAGGCTATTGCATTAATTTCTGTACCTCCAGTATCTTACAAAAATACTGGTACATGGCAACCAATTGTTGTCTGAATAAAGACAGGAACAACAAAAAAATTGAGAATATGAAAAGGTTGAGAACAACAACAATAAAAAAAACAAACCGGGAGGGAAAAGTATGCTCAGAAAAATGTGGCTACTAAACTAGACTATCTGCAGAGCAGGGAGCAAAATACCAGAATTCTAATTATCACTAGCAAATGCTCTCTGGGGGCAAAAAATACATATTTTCTTAAATAAAACTTAAGATTACACTTAACAATCAGTAGGTAGGTCTTCCTGGCCTAGAATTCATTGGAATCAGCTGATTTGGCCCCAATCAGTAAAGAATACTATCTGGAAAAATTTAATACCTAGGTCCAAGGATAGCTGGTAAAGGACTGGAGTAGCTCACCTCTTTAATAAATAAATAATCCTTTATGTCAATCAAAAGCAGAATAATAACTTTCTCTGGTGCCAGTTTTACATTCACTTTCAGTACTAACCTATCTCACACACTTGCCACCTCCAGCAACAACTCATACAGCAACAACTAACACAGCTTTGTGGCCCCTATTCCTCAGTGCTGCTAATTAAAATCACAAGCTGAAAACAAGAGTCAAACTGTAGCTCACAGTTTCAGCTTTGGTTGCCAGAAGCAGTGGCACACATGACAAGTCGTGGTGATAAATGTTAACATCCTGACTTCTATGGATGCTCTGACATACTGTCCTTCCCCGTAAGGGTCCCTATGACTCTACATCAATTCTCTGACATCTTTTTCTGGATGGTGATGGGTTATCCCTTCCCCATTAGTCCATGACTCCCTCAGGCAAAGACCACACTCACTTTGTTTAGATCAATATAACCAGCACAGCTCTGCTTAAGGTACACAGCAGACATTCAATATGTAGTCACTGAATGAATGGATGGACAACAGAACAAACAAAAACGCAATCCTTCTTATGTTCAGGGGCACAGAGCTTTGAACCCACTGTCTGGGGTTAATGGCAGCAGTTTGACAAAAGGGTCAAAAATAATGAACTCCACAGTCAGACTCCCAGGATTTGGATCCCAGCTCTGCCATTTACAGGCTGGGGGACACTGGGCAAGTTCCTTAGCCTCATTATGCCTCATTTTCCTCATCTGCAAACAGGGAATAATTATATTGTCTACCTCATGGGACTGAGATGAGGGATAAATTCATCCATCATATATGTTATAGACTTCCTATGGTGCACAGCACACACGTTAGTGATGTTATTAATTTTATAATCTATGGCCAAATCAGGCTAGTTTGTATTGTATCCAACTTAAACCTATGACCTTGTCACTATGAATCCTGATATGTAGCAAACCATACAAATAACAAATGACGAAAAAGAAATCTCTAAATCTAAGCGTGGGTGGGGGGAATTTTTACTTCAAAGGCTAGCTAATGAGTCATAGGCAGGAAAAAAAATATAACTCAGGTTCAATCACATAGTCAGCATTTTGCCTGGAGGTTCTCTCTGAAACAGATCTATCCCCAAATGGCTTCTACTTAGTGAACAAGCCCCAAAAAGGTATTTTTTATAAGAGGGGCACATAGCCTAGAATTTTCTAGAATATACTTGGATGTTTATTCCAGGGCCTGAATGATTCAAAAGTAGTTACTAGTGCATCCTCAACCTCAAACTTGAGTTTCTCTATCGGCTCACAGACTACAGTTCTAAACCCCTTTTAACAGAGGCCGAGAGACAAGCCAAAGCTCCTGTGGACCTATGCTGAAAACCCAACACTTTTTTTCTTTCTTCTGCAGTTGATCTGTGTAACAGCTGGGGTCCCAGGAAACAGACACTCAATTAGGGTAGGTTGTGAAAGGCTTACTAGAGACAAGATGTGGTCAGAGTATAGGAAAGCCACCAGGAATAGTAAAGCCCTCAGAACTGTTACTGCTCCCAGGCCCAGAGGAACAGTGGAGAAAGTGATTACTGGAACCCAGAAAAAGCAAGTCCTGTAAGAGGACCACCTTGACAGGAGCTGCAACCTGTGATCAAGGATGTAGCCAGGCTGAGGTAATCCATCAGGGAGGAGCCAGAGGAATTCTCTCTCTCATTCATTCTCTCTCTCTCTCTCCCCCCCCCCCTTATTCCAATTTCTTCCCTGTGTTCCCCATTGGCCAAACCCAACTGGAAGTCCACAGGCAAGGGAGACGCTGACGTATTCCATGCATAATCCTCCCCAAGCAGAAAGCAGAATGGAGAACAGAGACAAAGGGAGTAAACAGGAGTAAAAGGATGTAAGGCAAGATGTAAGTGTGATATATTAGTATGTGAACAAAAGCTTTCTGCCGGGATGGGAAGGTAGGAGAGTCAACATTTCCTGTAACCTAAGAGGCAATGGAAAATGGATTGGGAGAAAACTCAAGAAACCTCAGTACTAATGCTGAGCACTGCAGGCACGTGGGCAAGTCGCTTCCTCTCTGGCCTCAGCTTCCTCCCTGGACTAGTGACCACGAAAAGTTCCTTCCAGCTGCAGAGCCCTACGGTTCCTTGACTGAGTGGTATTTAGAAGCAGGAACTTCCTGCTGGGGTTATCTTGTGTGACAGCTCGTGGTGCCTTCCTATTCACGGAAGGCCCTTTTCTACGCGGCCCCTTGGGAGAAGCTTTCTCTTCGCTCACATGGGTCCAATCACTGAGCTTCTCCTGGAGCAGCCTCTAAAATGAACAGTCACTTACCGACGGCACTGCCATTCCTTGAAGTTACAAAGGAGAGAAGCACATCGCGCAGGCCATCTCCATTCACATCGGCCAACTGCAATGGAGACAGGTCCCCACCTGACAAACACATTAAAAAAAAAAAAAAATCCTTAGCAACGTACCACAAACCAGTTAAAAAAAGAAAGGGACACATAGTGCCAGCACTTCATAAAAACCAGGCAGACTTTCAGTTCCTGGATGAGAGAGAGTAGACACAATTCTGCCTGTTCCTCTCACTGAGCACAGCCAAAATCCCTGGGCATTATCCATAAAGCAAATACGAGAAGACTCTGGAAGGTCTGACCAGGCCTTGAGCCTTACTTTTCTCTTTAAATTGCCCTTCCTGCAGCTTTTCTCTCCCCTGGACAGTGTTGGCTGCATAGCAGGAACCCAGCAAGCCAATGCTCTACGTCTAATCTACATCTAATTAAGACCAAGGCCAACACCTCTTTCACCCTGTCCCCTCCCCTCTGGCAACCCCCAGGCCCTTCTCTGTGTCTATGACTCTGCTTCAGTTTTGTTGGTTCATTTGTTTTGTGCTTTTAGAGTCCACATATAAGTGAAATCACATGGTATTTGTCTTTCCCTGACTGACTTATTTCACTGAGCATAATACCTGTAGGCCCATGCTGCTGCAAATGGTAAGATTTCGTTCTTTTTTATGGCCAAGTAATATTCCGTTGTATTAAGAAGTACAAATTGGTAGTCACAAAATAGTCATGGGGATGGAAAGTACAGCATAGGGAATATAGTCAATCATATTGCAATAGCTATGTATGGTGCCAGGTGGGTACTAGAAATATTGGGGAGAACACCTTGTAAAGTATATGACTGCCTAGCCACTATGCTATACACCTAAAACCAATACAAAATAATATCAAAAGTAAATTGTAATTGAAAAATACAAAGTTTAAAAAATACAACGCCAACAGAAACACAACAAAGCAGTGATCTTCCCAAGTTTTCTGAGCTGTATCAATCCATCTTTTGGTTTTGCTTCAAATCTTAACCTCCTAAAGGCAGCTCTGCACACAGGGGGAGAAATGCTATATGACACACATTAAAGACTTGGAGGAAATTGTCAATGTAATCAGACCCTTTCCAGAATTAGGGATAAAAATCCTGCAGCTCACCTCCCTGGGGGCCCAAGTGGCGGCTCCAAGTGCTGTGCAGATCCCTGGGGGGACAGGGGATCAGGAACGCACATACGAGCACCAGGACCATCGAGATCACCAAGGTCAGCAGAAACACAGACGTGCGCACATAGGACACGATGGCAGAGGTTGTCTTCTGCTCCAGGCCTCCGAGGGGCTCCGAGGGGTACCCCTCTGTGGGGCCCTCCGAAATATGTGGCTTTGCAGCCCCTGCCACCTCAGCATCTGAGTCAGGCTCTGGAGCTTCTCCCAGAGGACTCTTCCCATTCTTGACCCCTCCGTTCTTCTGCTGCAAGTCCAGCACAAGATCGTCTTCACTCTCATCACTGTCGGCCTGTGTGAGGGGATCATACTCCCCTAGGTCAGGGCTCTTCTTCCCTGAAAAGACAGAAAGAGAGGGCTTCACAGGGAACAAGGAAGGAGAAACCCTCACCAAGTGCATGGCACCTGCAAACACACAGAACTAAGCAAACTGAAACAAATCTAGATTTACAACCTTGGACCTTCATGGCTCTGCAAAACAGACATCAGCAGGGAGGAAAGGATGGGGGAGGGGAGAAATCACAGGATTCTAGAACAGTGGTTCTCAACCTTCTGGCCCTTTAAATACAATCCCTCATGTTGTGACCCAATCATAAAATTATTTTCGTTGCCACTTCATAACTGTAATGTTGCTACTGTTATGAATCGTGATGTAAACATCTGATATGCAGGATGGTCTTAGGCGACCCCTATGAAAGGGGTTGTTCGACCACCAAAGGGGTCGCGACCCATAGGTTGAGAACCGCTGTTCTAGAATCACTGCTTTCAGGAGTTTAAGAAACTGGAAAAGAAATGGAGAAAGGAAATTTCAAATACCTTTGTAGGTTTTTGTTGTTGTTGTTGTTTTAAACTCTCTTAATTTGTTTCAATCTCACTAATGGAAAAAACCATGGCTCTTATATCATCAACCTTCCATAGGCCTAATATGAATATTTTCTTTGGTGTTCTTAGATATGTGTTGTTCTGATCTTTCCTGGGTCTTCCCTACACTTTTAGAATATTGATTCTCTATACCTTGCTTCTCACAGTCCAATATTTGTGGCTTCCTAATTGTTTCTATGAAACAATTTAGAAAGTTGAACACTAAATGCCACCTGGAGATGTTTCACTGGAAATTCACTCCTAAGAACCTCACTGGGATCCCAATGCCTTTCAGTGCATGTTTCAGTAAATAGTGTTTATCTCTAAAAATGCTATTCTGAGCACATATTCCAGGAGGGAGCAGGAACACAGAGGTAGAGGACTTGTCTTGAAACTGGTTTACACAACAAGCACCTGTTTATACTTAAACCTTATGTCTATTTGGAGGTGGTAAAGAGGCAGAAATTACAGAAGGGCTTAAGCACACCTCCTTGCAAGCCACCCCTTGCTGCCCTCACTGCCAATGACTGGATGATTTTATGCCTTTATTTCATGTTATAACCAAGTAAAAAACAAGAAAAAGTTTCTGTTTTGGAAATTACCTGGTAAGCTGTTACTAATGTAAATGCTACTTTAAATCTTTTGTTAAGAAGAAATATAAAAAATCTAATTAAAAAGGGAAAAAGAAGAATCCTCGATCCTAATCTCTGTCTCTGGTCACTGTGATCTTGATGGCACTTCATACATTACGTCTCAGTTTGCTCAAGATGTGAAATGAAGCAATAAAACACTATATGGAGACCCATATGGGAAGTAAAGTCTTTAGTGTAAAGTTTAGTGTTTGCTATACAGAGTGTCAATAAATGTTTCATTAAAAAATGAACATTCAAAAAAAATGAACATTCCACAGAATTTTATAACATTAAGTATTTTGAAAGACAAACACACACACACACACACACACACACACACACACACACACAGAAAATACTGAGTAATCTAGCATTCTGTTAACTACAAATTTCTATATATATAGCTTTGAACTATTCATTTTGTCTGATAAATATATTTGATTTTAAAGGCATAAATTATTTTAAAAAACAATTTTTAGGAATTTCATTCAGAATAGTACTTCAGGATATGCCATAGAGTCACTACAGGTTCAAGCTAATCTCATCTAGTTTATATATCTACTAGAGGCCCGATGCATGAAATTCGTGCAACAATTTTGGCCCTCGCATCCCTGGCTTTCTCAGGAAGGTCATCCAGACGGTCATCTGGACAGTCGTTCTGCTGTTTGGTCTAATTAGCAAATTAGTTCTTTATTATATAGGATTCTATGAGCCAAGTTATTTTATTAATTAGGGCATTTCATGCCCTAACCATCTCAGGTAACTTGAAAATAATTTACAAACAGAACCACAGGTTGTTGTAATAATATTAACCCTAATATTTTTAAATGCTTCTTTTAACTAAATGAATATACCTAACAGGATCTTTAAAATGTGCTATATATAAAAATGGGTATTATTCAGCCTTAAAAAGTAAGGAAATTCTGACACAATGGATCTTCAGTACATTATGCTAAGTGAAATGATCCAGTCACAAAAAGACAAATACTCTATGATTCCATATAATGTAGTCAAAGTCACAGAAACAGAAAGTGGAATTGTGGTTTCTATCTTCACAAGAAGCAGGCTGTCAGCACATGTAGGGAGTGTGCAGTAGGCAGCCAATCAATGTTTTGCTTTCATGTAGATGTTTCTCTCCCCCTCTCCCTTCCTCTCTCTCTCTAAAAAATCAATGAAAATATTTTTTAAGAAAACTAGAAAGAAAGGTATGACTACAGAAAACAAAGGTGATCCAATATATGCATAACTGAAGAAGAGAACAGAAAAGAAAATGGAAACAAAAACAGTACTTTAAAAATATACAAAAAAAGTTCCTGCAATAAAGCAAAACCTAAAACTGCAGTATAAAGGATAAAATGAGTCCCAAGAAAAACTGATACAGTCCTGCCAGTGTGGCTCAGTGGTTGAACTTCAACCTATGAACCAGGAGGTCATGGTTCGATATCCGGTCAGGGCATGCCCGGGTTGCAGGCTCCATCCCCAGTGTGGGGAGACATGCATAAGATAGCCAATCAATGATTCTCTCTCATCATTGATGTTTCTATCTCTCTCTCCCTCTTCCTTCCTCTCTGAAATCAATACAAATCTATTTTTAAAAAAGAAAACTCTTACAGAATAATCAACATTGAAACATATCCTAGTAAAGGCATTGAACTTCAAGGACAAAGAAAGAATCATATGAGCAACCAGGCCAAAGGAAAAAGAAGCAAGTCACTAATAATGGGAACAAATATCAAGCTGACTTCTCCACAATAACATACATTCCTAAAAGGTCATGCCACAGTATGTAAAAAGTTCTGAGAGGAAAAACATGGGTGTGCAATGCAAGAACTTTCATCCATTCATGACGTTTCTGAATTATAAAGGCAAGCATGCAAGAACTCAGGCTATCTTACTTTTGTGTCTTTCTCTTAAAGATCATAGAAAATAGGACCCATTCTTGACCAAACTCTTAAGATAAATATTTACTTTGACAGTATTAACAGTACATATTTTTCCAGGTAGTTCAAAGACAAACCTCAGCTTAATTATTATGGACTGCAAGCTTTGGTTTAAGAACTCCTAAGTAAATATTTTTTCTATGTTTCACAGAAAGACAGCATGGGTGTATAAACATCAACTCTTCAGGTTGAGAAGATAACATCAAAACCATGCTTCCAAGCTCAGGGTACTTTAGCACTCTCTTCTCTGATGATTTCAGTTATCACTCATATGTTTCAAACCAATAGAAGGTTTTCAAAGAATAAGGAAGACACTGATTTTCCATAGCTATCACTTTCCCCCGTACGAAGACTGAGGATGCTGGTTACATAACCATTCCCAAATGGTATGGAGGAAAATATAAATAGCAAAGAGATGCAACTATACCATCCACAAAGGTTCCAGGAAAATATACTGTAATATATACTTGAGTCTACACTTTACATAGACTCTACTGCAATGAAAGGTAAATAATTCATATCATGGATTAGTTGATCCAGGGTACATAATCATTCTAAGTTATACATAATAAAACAAATCACTACAGTAACATTATGCTCTGATGTTCCCTTTAGTGTTTGACCTTCAAACTTTAAAATGAACTAAGAAAATATATACCTAAGAGGTAATTGTCCCACAGGCTGCTTTATGAATGTCACATTGTCCTTCTGTTATTGATTAACCTCATTCTATGCATGTGAGCCAAACATCTATCTTGAGCTTAGTGGAAGGTGAGGCTGTGAAACATGGCTGCTTTTTCTTCATGAGGATGAGGATATCTGTCATTACCTCACGATTACATCGGGCCTTCCTTCAAGTATCACATTCATAAAAGATCATGGTGCTTATGATGATAATAACAGCTAACCCTTATTGAATAACCAACATGTGTCGAAGGTTTACAAACCTCTCAAGTATATCCATCTCTTATACTTTGCCAAATAACCCTATGAGGTCAATATGTAGTGAGTGTGTGGAATACAGTGAGTGTTTCATAAAAATATTATTACTACACATGAAGAAACTGAAGCTTGAAGAGATTAAATAACTAATCTGGTAAAGACCGGATTTAAATCCAAGCCTGTCTCATGCTCTTAGTCTCCATTCTATTCGGCTTCCTTACATGTAAAAATAGGAAGGGCACCATTGTGGTGATCATTTCACAATATATACAAATCCTGAATCATTACATTATACACCTAAAAATAATGTTATACGCCACTTCTGCCCCTTTAAAAAAAATAGTAAGTTAACTAAGGTAACATGACAGTAACTCCTAGGCCCAATAACTACAGTGCATCCAAAAAGAGCTAACAGAAAACAACTTTTACCTAATATAAAAGCAAAACCAAAATGTATTTGGGGTGGAAGGGAGAAACAGCAAGAGGGAGCCAAGCTAAAGTACAAGCTGGAGAGAAAAAAAAAACACACAAAAACAACAACAAAAAACCCGTATCACATAAACGAATATATGGCTATTGTATCTGGGCCTAAAAAAGTATCAAAATACTTGACTGCTCAGGGCAAGCTGCTGTGCAAACATAGGCCCAAGGACCAGACTGTGTTTTCTCTACCCTATCAGATGACCAATTTACTGAAACTGAATACTCCATGGGGTAGAAATGCCACCGCCTCAGGATGTGAAAATGCAGAAGAGCTCAAGAGTTTTGAATGCAAGATTTTCTTGCATTCCCATCCTCAGAGAATAACTATTACCTATGCTGTAAACTAAAAGAAAAAAGAAATAAAGCTAAATATGTCTGACCATCTCATTGCCTCCCTTGGGAGAATATCATACTACACTAAGGATACATAAGGCTACTCTCTTCAAAGTTCATTAATCCTGCAGGTATAGAAACATACCCCGCTTCAATGTTACATACATATTCCAAAATAGATATTTTCAATGTTCCTTCCAAAGTTCTAATGAGCCCATGTGAAAAGAAATGTCTTAGATCATCAAGTCTGGAGACAGAAATGCAAATTCATATCAAATCCATACCCAACGCAGTCATCCAAGGCTCAAGTGTAGCAGGCTGCAAGCTCCTTGACCCTGCAACCCCCCTGCACCTTATGCTGGATATCCACCAGATACACAACTAGCCCTTCTCAGGATGCCAGGGAAAGCAACTGCTTTTCCCCCTAAACCCTTAAGTTAACAGCAAACAAATGTGTACAGCTTAATGTTTAAAATTTATTTAGGTGGGATCATAAAAATTTTAAAGTCTTAACGTTTAAAATTTATTGGGGCAGAATAAAATAGACATTTACTAAAATAGCGAGTTTCTAGCAGCACAGTTCCGTTCTGGGGGTTAAAAACAAAACAACAAACAAAAACTTGGAGCTGCTGCTGCCCAAAGTACTGAATTAGCTCTGGAAGTTGTCCTCACCACCAGTGCCTCTTTAATGAATATCCCATACATTATCTGCAACTTGCAGGTGCCAAATCATCTCCCTCCTATAAATGCTGAGCCTGGGCAGCCAGAGGCTGACCAAGTGGAGTCAAAAGCCCGGGATCTAGCGTTAAAAGACCCCCCGCATTCCAGTTCAGGTTTTTCCAATACCGCTTAGTGACTTTGGACAAGTCAATTCAGCCGAATAACTCTCATTTTCCTCTTCTGTAAACTCGGAGGTTAAAGACCTGTCATTAGGTGGGGATGCTGCTCCAGAGGGTCACAAGTCCTCGGCCGCCCCCGATCCCCATCCCCGCCCCTGCCCAGGTGCAACCCAGGAGAGAAGGAGCTGGAGACGCTCAGGAAAGGATGCTCCCTCACAACCCTTCCCTGGAGGCGGCGGCGCGCGCGCTGACATTCGCCATCGCAGCAGCTCAGCCCGCTCCCGGCCACCTGCCCAGCGCGCCTCCAGCGTCCCTCCCTGCCAGGCTCTGGGCTGGCCCCGCGCCCGCGGTCCCCGACCCGCCAGGCGCCACTAACCCCCAGCCAAAGGGGGCTGCACCGCTCGCCTCCGCGCGCCTGCAGCTCCGCCTGGGTGAGGGCCAGGCCCCGACCGGCTTCACCCGCAGAGCCTCGTCTCCCCGTCTCCCAAGCCCGGCGGGGGCGGGGTGGTCTTGAGGCTGCAACTCCTTACCCGGGAGCTTGAGCGCCCTGGACAGCACTGTCGCCATGGCGGAGGCCCCGGTGCGCGTGCGCGCGCCCGCGTCCTGTCGGGAAATGTAGTTCCGGGAGGACGGTGCGCTGCGCTGGGTCCGAAAAGGTAGGAGCTGCGTGGCGAGTCGAGGTCAGGAGGAGGGGCCGGCTGGCGGCCTCCGACCCACTTGCAAGCTGCCGCGGGCTCTTCTGTCGCCCGCTCGGAGCCAGGCCCCTTACTTGGCAAGTGACCTGAGTCTCACCTTATCCTCAGTGAAGTGGGGAGATGAAGCCTACCACGTAGGTTTGCAGTGAGAACGGTATGACATAACCGACTCTTGTGTTGAGAAATGCGCCGTGGGCTTTGGAGACAAGACAGACGGGATTTCAATCCTGCCTGCGTCCCTTACTAGCAAGGCCCTCTTGGGCAAGTTACTTGGTATGACTAAGTTTCACCCCCCCCCCCCCTTTTTTTTTTTTTTTGTAAGAGAACATTTATTGGGTAAATTACAGAGGTAGAAAAAGTAATTCCTAGAAGAAATAGGCGTAGGAAACAAGTCTAGAGGTAAAGGGGTTACCCTTGGAGCTTGGGAGAGAGGAAGGTGATGGTAAGGTTGGGGGGAAGGGGGAGGGAAAGACATGGGTGTGCTCCCTGGAAGGAGAAAGTTAAGCTTCATTTTTTTTTTTTTTTAATGGAGACAATACTATCTGCTTAACAGGTTTACTCTGAGAATTGAATATATAATCTGTTTAAAACACAGCGCACATATGCTCTGGTTTCTCTTCAGACCGCATAAATCTTTCGCCTTTTAAAACACAGCGCACAATAGGCAACTGTTTCGTTCTTAGGAAAAGGTCAAGGCTTCCTGGAGCTGTAACCCTAATTTCTTATTACCAGTTTAAGTACTTGACACCCTACCCGCAGCTCCCAGCTTGAAGGAAACAGAAATTGACCTGCTTCTCCCTCACAGGCACCAAGAGAACAGCCTTTTAGTGCAGGAATGCTGAAGATATCTGATCCATCCTCCTTGTTTTACTGAAGAGAAAACTGAGTTCTAAAAAGGTGACCTAACTTCTTAGTGTCAAAACAAAAGCTCTAAGATGCCTCTCAACTTGGAAGCTGCCTCATTCCCATGAAAAACTGTAGGTACGACTATCTTGTGGAAATCTAAGAAACTCTTAACAGCCATCCCCATCACCCATTTCCCCAGGGGAAAAAAAGTCACTGACTCTAACAGAGCACAGACACTAGAGCCAGGTCACTAGTTCAAACCCCAACTTCACCGTTTCCTAGCTGTCAAATCTAGGGCTAGTTGCTCAATCCCTCTCTGCCTCAATTTCCTCATCTGCAAAATGGGGATGAAATAGTTCTTATTCCACAGAGTTGTCCTGAGAATTAAATAGATACATGCAAAGCACTGAGAACAGTGCCTGGCACCTAGTAGGTGTTTTATAAGTATTAGCTCTTCTTTTTAATAATAATTTATTAATTGTTTACAATTTAATAATAAATGTAATAATTTAATGGGTGGTGGACTTTTGGGGGGGTTTTGTTGTTGTTGTTTTGCCTTCTACGATACCCACGATTTCTATTATTTGCCACTTTTCTGGGGATACAGTTAAAAACTGAGTTAGTCCAGAGGCTGCGGCTGCAGAGGAACTACTGAGAAGCTGAAAAATGCTGTCCATGTGTGATGCCAGAGCTGTGGCCTGCACTCTTCCTCAGCGGGCCAGGCTGGTCTCCAGAATTGCTTTGGGATCATCCTTCATTCTGCAAGTAATCACCATGCCTCTAACACTCGTCTTAAGAAGATTGGCACTGCCAAGATATTCTCTATTATTGAAGAGCAGATTCTTGGAGCTCGTATACCTCTGTTGACCGTGAGGAGACTGGGCATGTCTTAAGTATTGGTGATGGTATTGCCTAACTACATGGGCTGAGGAATGTTCAAGCAGAAGAAATGGCAGAGTTTTCTTCAGGCATTGAACCCGACGATGTTAGTGTTGTGTTTAGAGATGATAAACTAATTAAGGAAGGAAATATTGTGAAGCGAACAGGAGCCATTGTGGATGTTTCCATTGATGAGGAGCTATTAGGTCATGTAGTAGATGCCCTTGGTCATGCCATTGATGGAAAGGGTCCAGTTGGTTTCAAGACCCATGGGTGAGTTGGCCTGAAAGTCCCTGTGATCATTCCTCAAGTTTCTGTGCAGGAACCAATGCAGACTGGCATTAAGGCTGTGGATAGCTTGGTGCCATTGGCGGTGGTAAGTGTGAGCTGATTATTGGTGACCGACAGACTGGCAAAACATCAATTGCTATTGACACAGCCATTAACCAGAAATGTTTCAATGATGAGTCTGATGAAAAGAAGAAACTATGCTATATCTACACTGTTACTGGTCGGAAGAGATCCACTGTTGCCCAGTTGGTGAAGAGACTTAGAGATGCAGATGCCATGAAGTATACCATAGTGGTTTCAGCTACTGCTTCAGAGGCTGCCCCACTGCAGTACCTGGCTCCTTATTCTGGCTGTTCTATAGGAGAATATTTTAGGGACAGTGGCAAGCATGCTTTGATCATCTACGATGACTTATCCATACAGGCTGTTGCTTATCGCCAGATGTTTTTGCTGTGTGCCAATCCCTGATCGTGAGGCCTATCCTCATGTGTGTTCTACCTGCATTCCCATATGCTAGAAAGAGCAGCCAAAATGAATGATTCTTTTGGTGGTGGCTCCTTGACTGCTCTAACCGTCACAGAAACACAAGCTGGTGATGTGTCTGCTTACATCCAATGAATGTCATTTCCATCACTGACAGACAGATCTTCTTGGAGACAGAACTGTTCTACCAAAGTATCCACCCTGCCATTAACATTGGTTTGTCTATGTCCTGAGGTGTAGCTGCTGTCTAAACCAGGGCCATGAAGCAGGTGGCAGGTACCATGAAGCTGGAATTGGTATTGGGAATTGCTGTTTTTTCTAAATTCTGTTCTGATCTCAATGCCCCTTAATAACTCTTGGTGTGAGTCTAAGTTCTGAAGCAAGCAGAGTATTCTCCCATGGCCATGAAGAACAAGTGACTGCTATTTATGTCAGTGTGAGGGAGTATCTTGATAAACTGGAGCCCAGCAATATCACAAAGTTTGAGAATACTTTCTTGTCCCCTGTTATCAGCCAACACCAAGCCCTGTTGAGCAATGTCAGGGCTGGGGGAAAGATCTCAGAACAGTCCGATGCAAAGCTGAGACTTCAAACAAACTTCTTGGCTGGATTTGGAGCTTAAACCCCTATGGATTCACATGAAGTACCAGCTTGGTTTTGTCATTGTTTCTTCTAGTGGTCAGTCCCATTGGTAAAAGGATTACTCTCATACTACAGATGTACAGAAATCACCTAAAAAGTAAAGGTTCCATATTGCAAAAACACACAATATATTTTATCTTACACCTATATAGGTCATCTGGGAAAAGAAGCAACACTACAAGTCACAATAAGTCAGTAGTGGCTTGCCTCAGATCAGATTAGTTCATTTGAACACGTTCTTGAGATATGAAAACTGATTTAAAAAAAAAAAAAAAAAAGAACCTTTCAGGTGAGCAAGATATAGAAAATGTCCATTTTAGCTGCAGAAGGAGAACTTGCATTTCTAGGAGACGGTACTATGGACTGGAATAGCCAGGATACACGGGAGAGAAGGAAAGAGGAAATCTGCCCACTTTCTTAGTGAAAGGGCATATCCTAGGAGAGCCCCTTCCTATGTAGTGGAAGTAAAATAAAGTTGTACAGTTTAAAGTTTGATTAAAATTTTGCTTTACTATCATTCAGAACGGAAGGTCAGATAAAGAGCTTCACAGATAAGGAAAAGCTAAAGGAGTTCATCACCACCAAACCAGTATTATATGAAATGCTGAAAGGTATCCTTTAAGAAGAGGAAGAAGAAGAAAAAGGTAAAGATACAAATTATGAACAACAAATATGCATCTATCAACAAGTGAATCTAAGAATCAAGTGAATAAATAATCTGGTGATCATAATAGAATCAGGGACATAGAAAGGGAATGGACTGACTATTCTTGGGGGGGAAAGGGGTGTGGGAGATGCGGAAAAAGACTGGACAAAAATCGTGCACCTATGGAAGAGGACAGTGGGTGGGGAGTGAGGGCGGAGGATGGGGGCGGGAACTGGGAGGAGGGGAGTTATGGGGGGGGGGGGAAGAGGAACAAATGTAATAATCTGAACAAGAAAGATTTAATTAAAAAAAAAAAGAAAAAGGAAAAATAAAAAAAAATAAAAAATTTGCTTTAAACGATGTAGTCACCTTAAGCACCAGTGTATATAAACACATAAACTTGTGTGAGTGTGTACACATCTCACAGATGTGGCATCTCCAGCCCCTCGGCTTTCCATACCTACGCTCTGTGGCATTTCCACTCTCCACTCTGCCTATAATCACCTCAGTTTTGCCCAAATGCTTTTCAAGGGGAATCAGACGCTAAGGCACTGCTGGCTCCCGTCCTGGCTCCCGGAGCTTTCCTCCTCTTTGCCTTACTTGCTCTCTGGAAATCTCTCCCATCCCCCCACATTGTTTTCCATTTTAGCACAGGAACCAGAGTTTAGAACAGCATTTCTCAAATGTAATGTTTTTTTTCCCTCCCAATTAAAGGAAAAATTCAAAGCAGCCATCAAATGTATCAGGATCTCTACCTTTTACATCAAGAAAACCTGTGAGTTCCTTTTTACTAGTAAGTTACTTGGCATAACATGAGTGTCTTTACTGCCTAAACATCCTCTGAGGTCACACCCCACCCCAGGGCTTCTTGACTTACCTTTCCGACAAGTGAAACAAGAGTGATTGGGGATTAACTTGCCAGACTGCTGTGCCTGCTGTGAAGAGGAGAAATTCTACTTCTGAAAATCACAACTGGAGGCAGAAGAGCCCCCTCTATTCTTTTTTTTTTCCCCATAGCTCCCCTCCACCCGGTTCCCACCCACCCCATGCCCTTACCACCCTCCCCCACTGTCCTCCTCCATAGGTGTACGATTTTTGTCCAGTCTCTTCCCGCACCCCCCCACACCCCCTTCCCCCCGAGAATTGTCAGTCCACTCCCTTTCTATGCCCCTGATTCTATTATATTCAACAGTTAATTCTGTTCATCAGATTTTTTTATTCATTTGATTTTTAGATTCACTTGTTGATAGATACGTATTTGTTGTCACTTTGTTGTTCATAATTTTTATCTTTATCTTTTTCTTCTTCTTCCTCTTCTTAAAGAGTACCCTTCAGCATTTCATATAATACTGGCTTAGTGGTGATTCTATTCTTCCTGTATTGATCTGCAAGGGAGTCTTCTTCCCCAAGCTTCCAATAGCTTCCAGCAGAAACCCATATTTGTTGGTTCGTATTACCTTTATGATATCCCAAGTGTTGCTCGGAATCACTCAGTGTCCTGCATGGGCTCATGATCAAATCTGGTCATCTAATATTTACCATTCCCGGGACACTGGCCCTTCTGCTGGTCCTGAGCCTCCCCATAGGTTTCACTGCTTCCTCCTGGAACCAATACCACCATGTTCACCAGCAGCTTTTCCCAACCTCCCCCAAAAAGAACAGTGAACCAAGCATATTGTGACCTGTGTAGTTTTCCTGAAGATTCAAGGGGACCAGGGGGAGGATCACAGGGCACATAGACTACCGCCTCCTAAAAATCTGTTAGGTACATCTCTTCTCCCAGGTCTCTGCTCCTGGCTCCATCACTGCAGCCTCCTCCACCAGGACACTCTCAGGTGTGTCCTGCTTTTAATCTTTCTCCTCTTCCCTTTCCTGCCTCCTGCTGCAATTAGCCTCAAAATAAAGCTAGAATCTCACCTCCATCTCACAGATGGCAGAATATTTTCACGGAAGCTGCCACATCATACAATGGAATGCTCACACTACCCTTCCAATATATTCTCATATTTCAATTCTCACGGTGATCCTATGAGGCAGGTATTACTACCCCAGTCTTACAGTGAGAATGTTTAAGCTAGATAGATAAAGCCACTTGCCCAAAGTCACAGCTAGATAGATAAAGCCACTTGCCCAAAGTCACAGGGTCTATGTGCTTGAAGGAGGACTTGAATGCACGGGTGTCTGTAATTTAATTGTGAGCATATACATCAAATACATGGCACATGTACTACAATTTGTCCTTTCATCATCCATACCACACATCAGTCACCACATTCTTTCACAGGGAGCCTACACTCAGCTTCAGAATCCCCAACTCATCTCTCCAGGGGGCCACTACCTATCAATTTGACTTGGCTAAAAAATGAAAATTATTTGTAACCCGTGCCTCACATATATCATAGTAACCAGACTAAAACCCCTGCTAAGACAGTACCTGATTTATGGTAGGTATTCAGTGTTGACTGTAGCTGATATTTGGTCGACGTTTGTTCTACTCTGTTGGGAGTCTTAGCTGATGAGTCCGACACGTTCTGATTGATGGTCAGGACCTAGGCAGTGTTGGTTTGTTAATATTTAGACTACATCCCTGGTTGAGTCTTTTTAGTTCTGCACTTCTAGCTCACTGGTTAAGTCCTAAGTAATCCTCTAAAAGTCAATAATTAGGGCGCCACTGGTGTGTCACTGGCATGCCAGAGCACTTCATTTTTCTCTCCTTAGAGTATTTATCACAGGAATCTGTGTGCTGTAATTATTGGAATAGATGTCTGCCATATTCAAACTCTCCTACTAAATGTTGAGTTCTTAAGAATAAAATGAAATCTTTATATATTTTTAGCCCTAAACAATGCAGCGCACATTGCCCCAGATTTTGAATAAATGTAAATTCACAAATGAATAGCACATTATAGAAGAGAAATGAAATCAACTTAGGGAAAAGTTTTAAAAGCAGGGAAGACATCTTTATAACTAATAAAACCCTTTTTTTCTAAGTTCACATTCCTTGATTCGTGTCATCCAAATGTTCTCAAATTCTGTCACTGCTTCTGGTCGCACCAAGTTACAAGAAAGAGGTCACAGTGAATTAAGTTACTCATGCTTTGTATCTCTCACACAATGCATGCACAGATTCTGACTTGTTCTACCTGCTTTCCTGTTCTAGCAAGAAAGAAAGGGTGGTTCCTGTTTATTTTTCTCTTATTACACAAACTATTAAACCTTACAGAATTCATATTTCTTCTCCTAGGAGAAGATGGCACACTTACCTATACCCAGCCTGAAGGGTGGACCTGCCACTCCAGCAGCCAGTCTCCCTGCTCTCACCTGTCAAAGGACTAGATCAACCCACACAGACACTGAGGCTCCTGGCGCACTCCAGGCCTGAACGATGCCACTGGGCTATGTGGAACCATCCCCTTAGATGACAGCCCAACACACGATGTCTTTCCCTCCATATTGATCTATCCTGAAGGAAAGATAAACAGCCATGATATGAGATAAAAGTTCTAACACACAATTATATTAAATACTATAGATTATTCTCATTTCTATACAATGAACATTTTCAGCCTTCCTCACTGGAAGCACATTGTTATAATGTAATTTCATGAATTACATTAAACCTAAAAATATTTGACCTAAAAATTGTTTCTTAGATGCCCTTCTTTATAATCTTATGATCTAAAAATTATTTCTTACATATTTTTATTATAATCTTGCCTCTATAATAATCTAATAAAACTGATCATCATTTCATCTGGCTGGCTTTCTGGGTTTGGCAACAAGCTTGGTTTGTCAGTCTGAGGTTTAATATGACACAGTACTTAATCTGATGCTTAATTCATCTCTCAGATGTTGTTTGAGGGTTTGAGAGGAGCAATCACAATGGCAGAGCTAAACGAATGGGATGTATGTGGCCACAAACCATGCAGAGGTTATGAGAAATAAATCTACCTTTGCCACCTCAAATATTTTCACTCATTCTTTTCTATTTTGTTTTCCTCCCAAGAGCTTGTCTTTAAAGAACTAGGAGATTTTTCTTTTCACTTATCTAGTTTCTAAAATCTTATTCATTCCTTTTTTCTCTTTCTCTTATAAATATTATCTTTTTATACCTTAATCTTTAAGACTTTTAAATTTTATTCTTTCATCTGAGTATTTACTTTTTATTCCCTATCCCAGTCTTAAAAACCAAGGTGGTTTGCTTAAAGATGAAATTTTGTGTAAAAGTATTTCCTCCTTCCTAACACAAATTGTCTCATTTTGTGTCTTTTTTCTAAGTTAATCTTAAAAACCTGAGTTTTGTTCTTCACTTAGAAGATTTTGCATGAAGCTCATCTTCTATTTCCTCAGTCTTAAATGCCACCTTATTTGATATGGTCTTGTTTGAGGAGATATTTTCAAATAAGTTGTCATATTTTCCTTCATTACTTTTTTAGGGGAATGCTTGTTCCCCACTCCTCAGATTTCTGCTTGAGCACCATGGAAGAAGTGAATTTTCTGATTGATGAGTCAGAAGAAGGAAGGAGAACATGCTTACCTCTCTATTTCCCTATGGGACTCATTCATTCGTTCATTTTTTTTAAATTATTCATTCAACAAATATTTGAGTGACTGCTACTTTCTGGAACCTATTCTAGATGCTAGAACTGTAAGATCAAACAAAATAGACAAAAATCTTTGTCCTCATGGTGTAGGGAGCCAGGCAGGGGAGAAGGTGTCAGATATTATGGAGAAAAACAGAAGAGGGGAGAGGAATGAAGTATAGAAGTTGTAGGTGGTAAGTGTTGTGGGGTGTTCAATTAAATGCCTCAGTAACAGGGTGACAATTTCAGTCTTAAGAGCAGTATAGCCGTCACACCTTCACACTAGGGCAAAAGGGGCTACTGTTCTAGGCCTTATGCCTCAAGGCACCCCAGGCTTTGAAGTATCTTCCTTGAAATGTTCCAAGCCCCCTCCAATACCTGGGACCAAGTGGGCTTTGGTGCCATTCTGGGGGAGCATATCCCTGCGGGCTCCTGTTTCCCTCCTTGGGGGAGCTCTCTGTCCCTGCTCCCACCCATATGCCCATGAACTTCACAATGCATTTTTTTATTTAAATTCTTTATTGTTGAAAGTATTGCATACGTCTCTTTTTTTTTTAATTAAAGTGTTTTGATTGAAGAGGCCTGCTCGAAATATTTCCACAGCCCCTCCCCCACCCACCAATAGCCTCCCCACCACACAGAGCCACCCCCTTCACTCCCACCCCCATGTCCAGTGTCAGCCCTGCTGAAGGGGATTTGACTATGCATGGTTGCTTCTTTTAATAACATTGGATCTCAATATTGGAAGGGATCTCAGAGGCCTGCAGATCTCATCCCCACCGAGTAGGAATTGCTTCTGTAATAGTCATTTCATCTCTGCGTGGACATTATCAGACCCTGGGAGGGGGTGGCATACAGTAGATATATACGGTTGGGTAACTTTGTGCCTGTTACCCGTGACCACACCCAGCAATACTAACTCTCCCTTCCAAAGCCTAATCCCTGGTCCATATGGCAATTGTTAAAATGCCTGAAATATGAGGCAGGGCTCTTAAGAAATGTCGCTGGAAGTTATTTCCTCTTTTTTATAAAAAATGTTTTTCCTCCCCCACCACTTCCCTTTGCCTTAAGTACATGAAGTTTTGTCTCCTAATGCAAGAGGCTTCCTTTGACGTTAATTTATCCTTCAGCAATCAAGCCTCACATTCTATAGAGAGCAGTCTTTTTAAAGAGAATTCTCTCCTTGTTTCTTTTTCCATGTTAACCTTAAAGACCTGAGGTTTTGTCCTCATTTCTAAGCATACAGCTCCTTTCTTCTTTAACAGGCCAACCTTAAATAAGAGAAAGCACCTTAGAGAAAGGAATTTCGCATGAAGCTTTTCTGTTTACCCCATATAATCTTTTACAAATTATTTCTTTAATGTTCATTTTAATCCTGCACCTTTGTTCCCTTATCTGAGAAACTGCTGAAGACATTTTCCTCCACTCACCAGTCTTAAAGATCAGGATGCTTCTGTTACTAATGGATTGCTTCTTACCCCTGAGCATTATAGATCTGTGGCTTTGTTCTCTCTTTGAGGGAGCAAAATATACATATCATAGCAACTTAGAAAAGAAGAGATACAACTGGGGCCAATGACCATGCACTACTTATTCAGAAGTAGGTTCACAGTTGTTCATATGGAAAATAATACAATAATTAATAAATAATTCAAGAATAAACTCTTGTGTAGTATGCACAACTATAAACCTACTTTTGCCCCACCCTGTATTTATGTTTTCATTTTAAGAGAACCAAGAAGGTATGACTCATTTCAATGTTATCTTTTTGTGTGTCATTTCAATAAAATAAAAACGCAGTGTATTCATACATGTACAAAATACATTTCAGCTACCTAAAATAATGACGTAGATCTAAATGTATTAATATGGGAATGTGACCGTGGGAATGTGTGTACATGTAAAATGTCTGATACATACAAAAAGACTCAATGAACTGAATGTTTGTTGCACACACACACACACACACACACGCACGCACGCAGATTTGTATGTTGAAACCTAATCCCCAGTGTAATGGTATTTTGAGGTGAGGTCTTTGGGAGGTGATAAGGGCAAGAGGGCAAAGGGATGGGCTTAGTGCCCTGATAAAAGAGACTCCAGAGAGCCCACTCCCCACTTTGCCATGCAAGGACACAAGTATATGCCATCTCTGAATCAGGAAGCAGGTTCTTACCAGAAACCAAATCTACTTGTGTGGGAGGCAATTAGACAGATGTGAGCGGAGCAAGGATATGGGCCAAGTACAGAAGGTCACTAGGGTGGAAAGCCCCAGGTCCCTAGCAACGGAAGATCAATTGTAGAGCAGGGCCTCCCCTCCAGGGTGACTTTCTTACCCTAGCATATTGCTGGTCTTGTGGTTTGGACCCCCTGACCTTCCTTCCCTAGAGATAACATCTAGACCTCAAGTTGTATTTCAGCTCTAGGCCCAGATAAGCAACAGAAACAGCCTCAGGACCAGCAGCATCAAATAATAACCCCTGCCCTGGTGCCAGCCAATCAATCAGGGGAGACCACAACCCTGAAAGGACACACCTGGAAAGCTACTGAATATTCTATTAAGATCTTCCCCCTGGAAACTTTGCTAAAATCACCACCCTTAAAACTCTTAGGACAGAGGACCCAGTGTATTCTCCCTCTCCCTCTCCCTCTCCCTCCCTCTCTCCCTCCCCCTCCCCCTCTCCCTCCCCCTGACCCTCTCCCTCTCCCTCTCCCTCTCCTTCCCCCTTACCCTCTCCCACTCCTTCTCCCTCTCCTCCCTCTCCATTTCCCTCTCCCTCTCCCTCTCCCTTTCCCTCCCAGGAGCATGCATGCCCACACCTTCTCCCCGCTACCTCCTAGGCCCGTTACCATTACCCTCCTCACTCCCAGTTCCAAGGGCCCTTGCTTTACCTCTAAAACTTGTTTCCTAAGCCCATTTCTTCTAGGAATTACTTTTTCTACCTCAGTAATTTACCCAATAAATGT